TTTTTTTTTTTGGAAGGGGATGAATTAGCTTTAATTTATAGTTCAGGAATTAAAAGGCAACAACCAGATTATTCTGTTACCAACGAGGCTGTAAAGTTAGAAGTTTGTTAGAAGAAACATTGAAAAGAATATCCTACAGGAATTTTTTTGAGTTCCTAAAGAAAAGCTTAGATTTGCATTAAAACTTTTGAGACAGTTTTATCATTTCTGATTATGGCACAGATTAGTCATAATTGCAATTAAAGAAATAAGTTTAATTTTTGCTTTTCTAATTCTTCTATAGGTTATTCAAATCTTTCCTAATGTCCATTACTGCTCAGTATGGTGCACAAGTACTTAATGATACACCAAGCAAGCTCAAATTACTCTATTAAATATTTTCCTTTATGCTAGATTGGAAGCTGGAAAAAAAAGAAAAAGAAAAAGAAAAAGAAAAAAAAAAAAAGGAGAGAGAAATGGAAACTTATAAAATGAGGACGAAGTTAAAACAATGTGGAAAGAAGATGAATCTCTAGAGATTTGCTAGGAAACGAAAGCTAAAATCGTGTTCCTTCTGCTCAGGGATGTTTGGTGCTGATTTATACTGGTAACTGTGATGGTGACAAGTGCAAACTTTCAAAGCAGGAGAAGATTTCCTGAGAGGTCAGTGTGTTCCTGTTGTGAAATGGAAGCGCTGTCAGAAGAGTTTAGATGAAACCAGAGGGAGAAAGAAAAGGGCTTTGCTACGGTTATCACCCCATCTAAATCTTCTGAGTTACAGGAAGGCCTGGCAGGTTTGGGAAGCTCCAGTGCCTGCCTTGGAAGGGAAGCTCTCGTGCAGGGGCAGTCCCTTGTAGGAGGCTGTGAAGGCCATGACAGCTGGTCCCCAAAAGCCAGCGCAGCAGAAGTGAGGAGAGGCAACTTTGAAACGTCATCTGAGGAGGAGGAACAGATTCTGGTGGGCAGACTCTGAGAGGTCTGGAAAGGGTTAGAGAACTCCCCCGGACAGATGGGTGTGCGGGGGAAAGGAAGGAAGAGCCGAGGGAGATGCTGAATAGGAAGTAGAGGGAATAGAGGCTGGCGGCCACTAATAGCTCCCACATGATGGAGAACATCGCGGCCTGTTTGGCTCGCAGATTGTCTAGTGCTGTCCTTTTCTTATGCAGAGAGGCTTCTGTACTAAGTCACGTCGAGTTTCAAATTAAATGTCTGCAGGAAAATGTCTCTGAGATTCAGGAAATACAGGCGTGCGTGCCCAGAATGAGCAGCACGACTGTCTGCTGCCTGCAGCCCCAGCTGCTGTCCTGAAGCCCTCTTTGGACATTCGGTCTGCTAGCGTTTCACAGGCACACAGAAAATCCTCTGGGATTCACTTTTTGGTGCCTGGGGACATGCTCCCATGATTCATTCAGAGTCTGAGCTGCAGATAAACACAGTCAGGCTTCGGCATGGAAAAATAACTGGTTCTCTCCTGGCATGCTTTCAAATGCAGCATATTGAAGCTCTGTTCCCAGGGACTGTTTCTTATTGCCTTCTGCCATCTGATCAGCGCGTCCTCTCTGCTCGTACCGCGGCGATGTGGGATGCCCAGCAGCAATAGGCTATAATCAGTGTGGGCATAGCGGAAAGCAAGGGGTTTTTTTATTGTCTTCTGTGGCCGTCAGCCTGAGGTCCTGTTGTCAAGCTCCTCTTGTGGCTGAACAAGGGCTAAGGGAAATAGGGAGGAATCGTTTTGTTATGTATGAGATGCATGTGTCTGCAAAATTCCAAAGCAACCTCATTTCTGATTATCTCATGCTAATACATCCCCCTACCCTGGTGATCAGGTGCTTTTATGATGGCTTTTTGTCTGCAGCCCATGCTGTCTGCACCCTCAGTTCAGCTGCTGAAGAGGGAAAGCAGTACTCAGTGTTCTGCAATGTATGATGGGTTTTATGTTTTCAGTTTCTGTGGACCACCCAGTTTCCTGAGAGCTGCAGTAAACCTTCAAATCCTGTCTGGTCTCTTTTTGGCATAGGGAACGCTTATGTATAGTAGTGGTTTCCTTTGTTAGTGTTTTGGTGGTGATTACTATTATTCCTGAATTTGGGCTGCTGAGATAAATACTTCATAATGCTTTATTTTGTGCACAACCATGTACGTTTGAAAAAACACCTTAAACTTCAGTGTTACTTTCTCATTACTGCTTTTTCTAGAAAAAAAGAAAAAGCAGACATTTTCAATACTTGGCAAAGGATAGAGCTGGCTGGGTAATGGGAAAAATATTCAAATCTTTTTTGAAAAAATGCCAATGTCTATAATGCATTTTCAGGGAATGACTCAACTGGTTCTATTAAAGGAAAAAATATAACGTTAATTCAGCCTAATTTAATGTGTTCTACCGCAGTCAACTGGTTATAAACAGTCTTGAATCTTCTAATTCTTTGCTTGCTTTCTGATAATTATTGAATAGAGTGCTGCATTATCATTTTCCAGCAGTGCATGTTAATATAAACCAAGAGCAGTTTCCATTAATTTGATGGAGTAACATCGGTGTAAGAGTAAGAAGAATGAGACGCAGTGTCTTCAGGAAAGAGTAATGTGCAAACCATTCAGAAGGAGGCAGGATTTGATTTTATATCAAGATGGATCGTTCCTTCATTGTGTGGACTTGAGCAAATTTGCATTTGTCCTCCCGTGTATGTTCAGACTCAATGTCTAGATGTGCCTTTAATTATATGTACTCCAAAGTAGGCTGTGCTCTGGCTCAAGAGAAAAGAATATTAATCTGATGTTTATTGACTTTACAGCTCTTCTAAGACTGAAAAATATGTATAGACTCTGTGGTGAAGTTTAATTGCTGAGGTTAGATACCTCTGAGCCTTGTGAACAGGCTGGTTCTTCCACTGAAACAATCAGAAAGGTGACCCACTGTCTATGCAACATTTAAAGCTAAATGTCTTTGTTACTTTGGAAAATAAGGAATCCTTCTTTTAATTATTTGCTTTAAAAAAACCTTTTCTTGAGCTTCAGACTGCCTTTCCGCTGCCTCTTTCACTCTGCACCCTTTGTTAACGTGTCTGTGGCTATCTGCTGACGAAGGTGCTGTACTGAAGCCCATGTGTGTGTGCAACTGGTGAAATGGTGTGGGGCAGCAGACAAGAGAGAAGATGTGTATGCATGTGTGTGCAAATACATATGTTTGAGCAGTGGTGCAGGAAAGGACTTGAGATGTGTGTGCATAGGAGAGTCTGATGGGGATCTTATATTAATGTATATATGAGCATTCAAGGAGCAGAGGCAGGGAGCAATTAATGGGAAGAAAACCAGGCTGTGGAATACCTGGAAGCAAGGAGGGATGCCCAGGGCTCTGCACCTTGAGCCCTCACTCTGGTAGAGCATGAGGCCTTTGGCTCTCCTGGGAAGCTCATTTTTCTCCTCTCAGACCTTCCTGAGCATGAGCTGCTGGCTGGGAAGACCATGGCATCCTCTCTGCTGGAGGATTTTACAGGCGTGTTGTATGAAGGCCTCTCAGATTGTAGCCAAGCTTGACTTGGAGCAGCACAAAGGGACTAAGTGATCTGTCAAGGGCCCTTCCAACCGCATTTTGTCATCGCAGAAGTATGGAGGGGGACAAAACTTGATCAAGAAATATGTAGTGCAGAAAGCAGCTGACAGGTCTTGGGGGAGTGCTGGCTTTGCTGAGAGCTCAATGGAGGCCCTGGAGGGAGACTCTCCATTGCAGAGCAGTGGGTGCAGGACAGGCTGGGACAGCAAATCTGTGCTCATCAGCTCATGAGAAGAGGAGGAGGAAGGTGGGTTCTTAGAGCAGTGAGCCCCATCAGGAGTAGAAGGGTCCTGGAATAAGGGATGAGTCTGGTGAAGAGGCGCAGGATGACTAAGGAAATTTGGTGACAGGTTAGAGGCAAAAAAGCAAAAATTCTGTCTGTCAGAGAAGAGGGAAAGGAAAGCCAAAGAGAGGGTAGGAGAAACATTTGTCATGTGAAGTAAGACAAGTCATCCGTTTGAGCAACTATTTAGCTAGAACATGTGAGACCCTGTGTGTTGAAGCAAGTGAGGAGCAGCCAGGCAGGAGGGGAAACAACTTCTGGGTTTGATCTCAATGGGATTTGTGTTTGGAAAACGCGTTCATCTAGGAAGAGCAGCCAAACTGCTGAAGACGAGAGAATGAAGGGGTTTCCAGACCAGTTATAGACAAAAGCAGTGAGAAACATGTGTTGGGTGAGCCAAGGGCCATGGATAATCCAGCAGAGTTCAGGGTCGAGAAGTTGGACTAAAGAACCGAAGTGATGAAGAGTAAAACACAGGAAGAAGGCTGAGCATAGATCAGTCATCCCTACTGAAAGACTGGAAGTTACAGACAGGATGAGGAGCAGTGTGAAATGATAAGGCTGATGTTGAAATAAAGCATGTGATGTTTCAGTGTTAAATGGGATTTTCTAACACAGTCATCGATGCAGTTATTGCAAACATGTGAAGTCAGATGTACAAAGTGCTTCTGGTTCTTACCATGACTTGGACACTTCTGTAGCCCTCATTTCTACATTATCAGAGTTCCCTGCCATCTTTAGGGTAGTTACACTTGGAGCAGTACGGGTAGTAAGAAATTACTATTCTTTAGATAGTGAACTGAGAAAGTAGGGGAGTACCTTGCCTGCAGTCTCGCTACAAATGGAAGTGAGAACTGAAGCCAGGTCTCTTGAGTTCTCCACCAGTAGCTTAAACTCTGGCTCATCCTTTCTCCGAACTCCTGCCTTGAGCGGGAGCCACTTCTCCCTCATACTTTCCACAGAGAAACAGTTTTTGGCATATCGAAGTGCTTTGTTTAGCGATACTGAAGAAAATAATGGTAAATTACTTTTGCGATTATTATTATTATTATTATGGAATTAAGCCATAATATATATCCACTGGTCGATGCAGAATTAAGTTGCAGAAGAGGCTAATGGGGATGACAGCAAAAACAGCCTTTTTTTTTTTTTTTTTTTTTTTTTTTAATTTGCTGTTGCATTTTCTTTCAGATAAACCGTGAAAGCTGGTGCTCACTGGAGCCATGTCCTGACTCTTCGCTGCTGGAGCGCAAGCGGACAGGAGAGTCTCCAGGTAAGCTGTGGGTTCTTGACCAGCATGCATTCAGTAGAGCATCCCTCTTGTTCTTCTTGCTGCTTTCCTCAACTTTTCTTTTTTTTTTTTTTGTCATCCTAACCTCAATGGAAAAAAATATATAAGCTAAAGAAAATGTGTAACAAGTCTATAATGAGTCACTGTTAGTACAGAGTGAGCTGAGTGGTGCGTCGCCTTCTTAACTGTGCACTTGAAATGTTTCAGTATTTCAGTTTTCTATCAGATTTTAGACGTGCGATGGAGAAAACAGACGTGTTCTCTAGTCAAAATGGTAATATAATAAAAGGAAAAAAACCCAAAAATTCTCATAATCCATATTCAGATGAAGATTAGCGGCTTCATGGGTTTTTTTGCTTATTTATTTATTTTTTTCTTCAAAGTTCCCATGGTTTCCAGACTTCAGGAAACAGAAAGGCAGTTCAGAGCCATCGTTCCCACACCCTGCCCACAGTTCTGCATGCTGGCGGGTGCTCTGTCTCTTCCACAGGGACAGAAAATCTCATCTGGCAAGTTTCAAAGAGGGCTTCGTGTCCAAGATAGGAAAAAAAAGCGTTTCCTCTCATTGAATCATGCATGTTCAAAACAAATACAGTAATTTACCAGAGCTCTGAGTAGAGACTTTGCTTGGACTTTTCATTGAGTACTTGTTTTACTGGCAATACGTGTAGAAATCTCACCTGAGTCTCCTTCAATTCATCTGAGATGCTTGAAAGAAAAATGGGGATTGAATCACTATTGAATTGAAATTCAAACCTCATCTTTTCAGAGCATGGGCTAGGAAGTGACATTTTGGGTGACTGACCTGAAGGGCTTATTCTAGCTAGAAGTCCTAGCTCCCATTGAAGTGAAATAAGCCCTCCTCCTCTCCTCCTCTCCTCCTCTCCTCCTCTCCTCCTCTCCTCCTCTCTAAATAATAATAATAAAAAATGCTGTGACTTGCAGGTTAGGATAGTCATGATCAGTGAATAGCTATTTTGCTAGTGTTTTACAAGAGAGCCTGCAGTATTATCACACTGCTTCTTTGCTAATTATTTCCCTGCATCCCTTGAGTCTATGTGTGATGCTTTTATGCTTTGGACTTTTTGTGCTCCATTTGGCTGCAGAATTACATGTGCTCATTTGACTTGATGAATTTATAATCATGCAGACATATGGGTCAATATTATTTATATACTTGTTATCTGATACAATATTATGCTATAGAAATATATGTAGTATACAATCAGTTATATCTGCAGACATAAATTAATAATTACAGTAGTACATGTCTGTAACACATTGAGGCAAGTTTGAAGATGACAAGGGAAATGTGCTTTTGTCTGACTGCAGCAGCAGGAAGAGCTCAGGGTCTGCAAGTGCTGGCATTCCAGAAATAATGTAATGACTGCTCACATGTAATGTGAAAGTACACAACTTGAAAGGGAATTACAACTTTTTCACCTACTGAATAGTCCTGCAGTAATCAGTTGTAAGGAGACAGTCCTCAAATCTTGGAGGAAAACTTCAGGAATTGTAGCTTCTCGTTTTCTGCACATGCTTTGGAGCTGCATTGCAGCTACTTAGCTATCAGTGTGGAATAAGAGGGCTCAGCCCCACGTTGGAGGCTATGAGGCTTTGGAAAATGTACGTAAAGGAGTTATTTGGAAATTTTCATCCTAGAGCTTTTTACTGTGTAGCTTTTTTCTTCTGTATCATGTGGAGAAGTGTGTTGTCATCATGTCTGTGGAGTTGCATGCAGTAAGGATAAATGGATAAGTGCAGTAATGCAATAAATGAGGTGTGTGCAGTGTGATGGGGGCTGGTCCACATGCCCCAGTGCTGTGACAGCGCTGCCAGCAGGGCTCGGAGGGTCATGGGTGGGAGCAACTGAGAGACAGAGGTCAGCATTGTGCAATGTGTGCATGGTTCAAAACAGCAGGGCGAGCCCAACAAACTGAGAAAAGGAGGGGGGGGAACTCATATATCCTCCTGAAACAGCCAAGGTGAGGTAAGAGTCAGGACTTGGAGATGAACACCTCAGCGCAGATGAGGGGAGATGTGGGGTCCCCCCACCTCTCTCTGCTCCTCCTTGCCTTCCCAGCCCTCTTCCACCCCTCACTGTCACTCGCTGGCTCCTGCCGGGCCTCTCAGTGCTGCTGTGATTTATCGGCTGGGCGAGGTATCCGTTCGGTGGTGCATCTGGACCGGCCCTGCTCATTTTCCACTGGAACGTGGCTCGAGCTCCTTTGTTTTTCAGTCTGGGCTTGGACAAGCTCTGCCATCTGCCAGCTGGCCAGCGGGCCGCATCCTGGCCCTCTCTCTTACAGCCACTCCGTCTCAACTTTGCTTTTCCCTTCTTTATTTCTTTTTACTTTTTTTTTTTTTCCCCCCTTTCTCTCCCCTCTCCCTTATCCCCCTCGATTATGGAAAAGCAGTTCAGATTTTCCAGGTTTACTGAACAGGGAAAAGGCTGAGGGAACACTTGCTCCTTCTCCAACAAGTGCTTTTCCAGCTCTCCCTGGTGTGGAAACTCCTCAGAAGGGTGATGGGGTTTCCAGCCAGCTTCACCATCCCCATGGCCCCGGGGCAGCACCTTTGCCTCCATCCCTTCCACAGGGAAGGGGAAAAAAAAGTGGCTTCGAGCTACCCAACCCAAATCTGTATTCCCTGTGTTGATGTGTGAGCCTGCCACAGCCAAGGATGGAGTTTATTGGCTATTATTTAAGAGCAAACAAGTGTTTTATTGCCCTGGCTCCTCTGAAGGAAGCTGAAGTGTTTTGGAGGCATCTTGTTTAGGTACAGTAGGTTGAAAAATAACACTTTTTTTTTCTCATAAATACTAATAATCAGCAAGTATTTTTAACTGGGAGAAAAGAATGTTCAGTTCATGCCAAAATTGTCACTGATACCTCTGCTTGCAGGCTGAAAAAAAGTGAAATGATATATTGGCATTGTGGATGCAGGCACATAGCCCTTAAGGTTTTTGGAAGAAATGGGCTTTCTCAACGGCTGGGGTGCATTTCTGTGCTGCTCATCACTCCACTACAAACAGCTGGAAGTATTTGAAATGGAAGGAAGAGATGCGATATGCTTAGATTTAAATGTCAGCAATTATGAAAGCTTGTGAAATTGAAATAAGTGCCCAATTTTTGAATCTTTAAAAAGTAAAACTTGTCATAGAAGACTTACTGTTGCTTTTCCAGTGGGAAATATAGAAGAAGCAATCAAGTAATGGGCTGATGAGCATTTCAAAAGCACCTTGGCATTTAAATGTTAGAGGACATTAATTGTTTTTAATTGAGAAAGTTAATATTGTTGACTTAGATACTTACTGAATATAAATCTAATTTGGCAGTCACTGCAGTCAATAGGAAAAATAATACCCTGTTATGCTCAGTGTGAGGTACTGACATGTAGCGTATCACTTTGTATGCTCATGTCTGTTCAATGCAGAGTTGTTTGTGCAATGTACTTCAGTGGTGCATTCCTTGCCTTCAAAAAAATGAGTTTTTAACTCATGAATAAATTAATAAAAATTTGTCATCCTGTTTATAAGAGGTGAATTCTATTTATAAACCTGTGCTTGCTGTTGATTTAAACTCTTGAATTGACTGAGCGTATGTGAGTTGGAGGTTTGAATGCTACAGAAAGCATCAGACCATAACTTTTTCTGCTTTGCTCCCACAGAGTGTGAGAACTTCTTGGAGGATGGGCTGAGCAGCGTCTGTGCCTCATCACAGGGTGTCCTTAAAAGAGAGTCTGGCAGCGAGTCTGACTTCTTCTCCTTGCCTGGTGATGGGATGGAAGATCTTGTCTTTGGGAAGGTAGGAAAATCTGATTGGGATACGGGCAAAGAAAAGTTTCAAGACCTGATTCTATAAATTCATACTGCAACCTTCTTGTTTTGGTTTTGCTGGTGAGTTAGAGACCTGGAAGGGATGGACCTGGAATGGCGTAGATGGGAAGGAGCTGGTCCCCTCTTCAGATGCAGCAGTTTGAGGGGTGCATTTATGTACACTGTGCAACCCCCTGATGTTGAAGAGATGAAAGCAATTGTGACTGCACAAAAGTAAATCAGACATTAAATAGTTGAAAAAGCGGATTTTCTTGTAAGGTCATTAATGACTGCACAGATGATATGGAAGCCATCTTTAACTAATGGAACAGAGAGCTTTCTCCAGCAAACATAACCTCTGTACTGACACATTCAGAATCATATACTACAATTCTCAGAAGAACTAGTGTTCTTTAAATTCAGTGTGACTCCCTTAATAGGAAGGAAACACTCATTCCAAATAGTTAAGGCCAATTCCAGGGAATAGCTTTGTTTCCAGGGCAACATACCTCTAATGCCTTTTTGCGTGCAAGCCGAAGGAAAATGTTTTCAAGTTTGTTTAAAATCAACAACAGAAGTCATTACTAACCTTAGTCATCTCTGTGCCCTTTGTGTTGCTCGTGGATGAGAAGAGGAGGGAGGAGTGGGTGAAACCTGAGATACAGAACTAATCTCCTGAGCAGAGCATGCCTCACTTCAGCACTGCCATTCTGCCATCTGCGTTGAGGCTGCCCAAAGATATTGAGGGGACAGTTGGCTTTTGCCTTTCGAAAACCATCTTGCAATTGACACTTCAGTGCTTCTTGCCATAGGTAGATGGTGAGAAAGCACACAGGAGGTGGTGCAAATGGACACAAGCCTCCATTGATCAGCCACCTTGTTGGTCATAATCTGCTTTGGTTCTGCATGGCTTTAAGCAGCTCAAACCTACCTCCTCAAGCAGATGCAGTTCTTGCTCTGATAAGCTAAATTTTTAGAGCAGGTTTCACACTTGCTTGCAGAGAAATATATTTAATGAAACAAAATTCTGTTTGGTTAAATCAAATCAGATGATGGTGAATATTTTCCAGCAGGACGGGAAACACCACAGTCTGGGCTAAGTGATCTCATGTGCTATAAATGAACAGTAAAGTCATTCTTAACGCATGTGGCAGGGCACGCAGCTCACCAGCCTCACCCTTTCCCATCTTATTCTCAGAGCTGGGGGACCCTGGATTCTGAGAATGTAAAGCTGTTTGGCAGAGCAGAAGACTGTCTTCAATTTGCTTGTGTAGAACGAATTACAACAGCAGACTTTGTCATTTGAGCCTCGTTTAATGGTTGTGTGGGGATGCGTGGGAGAATAGTGCTGTGAGAACACAGTACATTTTATAACGTACAGAGCTTTAGCTTTTTCCCTTCCTTTTATGTGGAAAGTTTGCTTCTCCAAATGTACGAAGTAAAAATTAAGAAGGATAGGTAGGGCAAAGTAATGGCAGTGCCACAGCGAAAAGAAAGTTGGTGGGGAAGTGGGTCTTCAATTGTTGATAAAGAAAGGGTAGGGTGAGGAAATTTTCTTTGTAGAAAAGGAAACCTCTTAATTTGGCAGCCCGTGCCTTGTTCTCATCATTCGGTGGATTGCAGGCTTCATCAGGAATGGGTAAAGTTCAAAAGGTTTATAAGTTTAGTTTAGGAAGTCATTCAAAGCTAATCACAGCCCCAGTCAGTTGGTTTATTTGTCCCTGCTTTGCTGACTAACTCAATTCCCCATCTCTTTTCTCCAAATATGTCTGAATACCTTTTCTAAAGTTACAGTTATTTACATAAGGACTCATTGGGTGTTGTGGGCTTGTTCCTTGGGTCAGCCTTTCTTCTAGGCTACTGAGTGCAAATGCCAGTGGAAATGCCTAGTTTTAAGTATTTTTTATAACTATTACCATTATTGTTGGATTCAGTCTTTTTTTTCTGGAAGATACTGTAAGATATACTTATTGATTTTACTCAATTTGTTATAACTATATTAAGTACTGCAATTTGCTTATTTAATTGAGAAGTTCTATCTCAAACATTTCGGTATCATTACTGCTGTTGTTATTATTGGTCCTATTGTAGTTTTCCCTTTTTATGCTTTTTTTTTAAGGGATTTTCCCTTTGCATGGAGCACCAGTTGATCTTTTATCTATTAGAGTTTTGTCCTTTTTTTATTGTACAAGCCAGTCCTCTCTTAACTGCTAAATACATTAAAGGAATGTTGAAGGAATGAGCTACTGTCTGTCCAGGGTCTTTGGGACGCTTCCATAAAGATAAGCTGAAATCCATGTACTTTTAAGCCCTGGTTCTGTCCCCAGACCATGAAAAATTGGGGTCTGTGGAGTCATGAAAGCTGCAGGTGCTTTGGAGTGTCCCTGATGTGAGCTGTGGGCTCTCATTGCCGCCTCCTCACTGTCTCCTTTTCTCTCTCGGAGTGACGCATGCTGAGCTGCATAGCATCAACTCCAGGATTGAGACAGCTGTAGCATTACAACCCGACTTGTTGTTTTTTTTCAGACCAAATAGGCCGTTGCAGAAATCCAAGAATCATGTCCAACATGAGGTCTCAGTTATTTATTTATTTGTTTGACGTCAGTGCTTCATTCCCACGTCCTCATCATCTTCCTCTTCCTTCTCGATCTCTACCCAGCCGTCTGGGCAGACTTTGCAACACTCTCCTTCTTGGATGATTAATGCTGCATGAGGTCATTTCTCACAATCATCTGGCAACGTCCTGGGGCGTAGCCCATTCACTTTGCTCATGTTAACTTTTAACCTGCCACTGAAATTCAGCGTTACTTGGAACTCTCTCAAGGCACCCCTTGGGAAATGGTTCACCTGCAAGGGACTTGGGAAGCTGGGGACCTGCAGCTCATTGTCAGAGAAAGGAGTTGAAGCTTAATGTTTAGTTTCTGCCTCTGTTTTGAGTTGATCAAGGAAGTACACAAATCCATAGATCTCTTTTTGCATTTATTTTCCTGGAGTTATTGTTTCTCTCTCTAAAGCAGAAAACAAGCCCTCAGAACTTAAAGCTTGAAGAAAAAGGCTTGCAGTGGGGGAAAGCTGCTCCACTCCAAATTGTAAACACAATGGTAAATAATTTCTAGGATGCCACTACCAAGGTTAACTTTGGGCATCCTGGAGCCACTGGTAAATCTGAATTTAAAAATATTCTGCTCAACTATGTATCAAGCCAACCAAACAATTTGACTCCCTTCATGTAGTGCTATGTCAAATAAAGCTGAGCATGCCAAGGTCTTATTTGTTTTCTTTTTGTTGTTTTTGTTAAAACGCCGTAACAGCATCAATGCCTTTGACACGTGGAAGACCAGAGAACAGACTGAGTTCATCTCTCAATGTTTTGCTTGTTGTCATCAAGAAAATAATAAGAAAGAACATTACCATTTCAATTCTCGGGACTTCTGATAGATTAAGGGTTTTAGTTGAAGTTCACTTGCAGCCCTGTACCATCCTACTGATCTCTCTCATCCCTACCCAGGAAGGACAACGTTCTTTTCCAAAAAACTCTCTTTTCAAGTTTTACCTCTTGTTTGTTTTTTGTTTTTTTTTTTTTCACTTGTTTCTCACTAAGTACTGTTTGACAGCAAAGAATGTGTCCAGTAGCATATCTGCAAACACATCAGTTTTACTGTCATAATTACAGGTTGAATGCATTGAGGTGCAATGCAGCAAGCCTAACTTGAGGAAAGTTAATATTTCTTTAATGTTTTGTTATTCTTTTAGGAAAAGAATTAGAGAACCATTTCCATTCTGCAAACAGGGTGCTTTCTGACTCAAATAGGATTAAACAGCAATGCCTATTCACTGACACATGGCCAGTTAGCTAATGTTTGGCAGAGCTGACTACAATACAATGTTCCCTAGGTGCCTGCCACACTTGGCATTTTCCAGACAGAGTCCTGGTCCTTCATATTCACTATTTTCATTTGTTTCAAAAAACAGAACAGAAGACATTGTTTAAGTGAAGATAGAACAGGTTTTATAGTAACTGCTTGGGCTACAGGTTCAAGGAAAGTGTTTGTTGTGCTCTGTACTCTATTGGATGCTCAAGGTAAAACTCAAACTGGACAAATATATTGTGCAGTTTCAATCCTCTTTCTGAGCTGTGGGAGAAATCCTAAATCTTCCTTGCTAGAGAAGCAGTTTTTGTCCTGCATTTTCAAATGGAACAGTATTATTTTTCATCCAGGAAATAAAAAATCTTCTTACTCTGGGGCAAAGATATCCTTCTACGTTTTAATGTTCTGCAATATTTTCACCAAATTTGCATCCACATTTAATGTTTCCAAACTGTCCCATTCCACTGCACAGCTGGCATCTTGTCATCCCTCCTGCTGTGCCGCCCTGATGTCTTAACAGTATTTTCTGTGTCTCAGGAAGGCAAAGCAGGCTGTTCTCTCTACTGCAGGAGTGTTATCCACACAATGACTGCTTAAATTTGTCTGGATTTAAGCTAAGCTCTCATCCTGAATCAAACAAATATCAGATAATCTTGAACAATGCCAAACTTGATCAAAAACTTTGCAGGGTATGCCTTTCCATTTTCTCTTGCTTTAACCTATGCTTCCTATTTAAATATGTGTCAAATCCAATAATTTAAATTTATGGTAAATTTACTATAATTTACATAAATTCGTGGCTAATGTTTGATGTTCTTTACCAATGTAATGTATGCCTCTGTTCTTAGTGGTCATTTGATGTTTAGTGGTGAAAGCAGGCATTGTGCTGTGCATGCTGTGTTCCTCTTTTTTTTTTTAATGGTAGAGAGGGGGAAAGTAGTGTGACAGCATTTACTGACACCACCTTAGGAACGTTATTGTGTACCTGTTAAACTGAAATAAGAATAAGAAATAGCCAAAAATGAAATAGGGCTTCCCTTTACATTGTGAAATGTTGGGTCAGCATGCTTTATGAACACTGCAGTGTGTTTTTATTCAGTTTAGCAGGAAACTTTTATCTTATGCTGTATGCCCATGAGAAAGCAGTGCCTGGAGCATCTAACCATGCTGGGCTTGATGGGAGATGAAGATGCTGCTCATCTCCCACGTGGCTCGTGGTGCCCATTGCCCTTCACAGAACAGGATGTTGTGTTCTGCCAAATAGGCTGCAGCTCCTCGAATGCTCAGCTTCTGCTGACAGCCCAGCCTGCTATTTGAGGACAATTAGCTGCTGTGGCTTTGGTGAATAGTCCATTATATATGATCTGACAACTCATTTCTGCCTATTATTATTTCAAATGATGCAGTGCAGAGCTCTGCAGGAGAATAAATTGAAACTTCCCACGTCAGTCTCTTGAGGCAAACACCATTTCAGACTGAAGGTGATGTCAGATACATGCTTGTGTTTTTGCCCTAGCCACGGGGAACACAGAATAATCATAGGCTCTTTCTAGGCTGTATTGTCAGCATGTGGCCTTTTGCCAAAAAGAACCAGTTTGGGTTCCACTTACTGCTTTTGGAGCAAAGTAAACCAAAAATTGCAGTATGAATGGAGGCCTGTAATAAAGTGTGGCTGATCCCATAGAACAGTATTTTTCAATTACGGTTGGGTTTGAAGAAATACTGCAAACCCTGGCATTAACTTTTTGCTTAATGGAAAGTAGCGGGGGTTGAAGAATTAAGTTTTTATTTTTGTGTCTGTTTCCTACAACTGAATAATTGTTCCTTTTTCACCACACGATGCAGCACAACAATGTGTTGTTGCCTTCAAGCTCTCAAGGCTAAAAGCCGCAGACTGGCCCCTTGTCACCCAGGAGAGACTGGCATTGGTCATGGGGAGCCATGATGATCCAGTTTCATCTCTCTCCATCATTAACACCTGGGACATCTTTGGCAGCTTTGTGCCCCTGTGGCTGATAATAGGTTCAGCGAGAACAGGAGTTGCTGTGCGGTAACACAGAGATAAAGACTCATCTTTCTTTTTCTTCCCTGCAGCAGCCTGAAGAGGAACAGTCTGCAGGAGATGTCACCAGCTCCAGCTCCTCTGCTGATGACACCGTGTCCTTGGAGAGGAACTCATCCCTGGGTAGCGACACGTCCCTGCCCTTCCCACCCGCGGTGAGCTTTGCACAGCCCAAGGACAGGCGCAGCCTGGATGGGAGCTGCACGAGCATGGTGGCTGTGGAGGGAGGAGAGGGTGAACTCGCTGGCTTGGGAGAGAAGGAAGAGGAGCTGGACAGTATCACAGACGTGCCTGCTCCTTCCTCCGTCTCAAGAAACTCCATGCGGCCGCTGTCACCTTTCCGACGCCACAGCTGGGGGCCAGGGAAGAATGCCACCAATGAAACAGAAATCAATCAGAGGAGGTGAGTAGAGAGCTGCCCAGATTTGCTTTGCATCCAGTCACATGGGCTTATCTGAGCTTTGGACTCAGCGTAATGAAACAGAAAATTGAGGATGCTCCTCGAAACGTTTTTACCTCTGAAGAGTGAAAACAGCCTCCTAACATATGTATATATATCTTTTATTAACTTTCAGGTTGAAAATTCTTAATACCTATAGAACACTCTTGGTTTCCATAGGACAGAAAGAATACCTCAAAGTTTATTAGAGCAAATGCAAATCAAAGAGTCACAGAATCTTTTGAGTTAAAATGGTCTCTTCATTTAGTCCAACTGCCCTGCAATGAATGGGGATGCCTACAGCTGGTCAGGTGCTCAGAGTCCTGTTCAGCCTGACATTGAGTCTTTCCAAGGATAGGACAACCTCTGCCAGTGCCTCAGCACACTGACTGTAAAAAAAAACAAAACTTCCTTAAATCCTGTCTAAATCTCCCCTCCTCTGGTTTGAAACCATTTTCCATTCTCCTATCACAACAGACCTTCAGTCTGTCCCTTTCCTTCTTATAGCCTCTCTCTAGATACCCTGGGACAGATCTTAAGTTTGAAACATCACCACCACTTTCTGTAAGAAGAGTTCTGTTAAAGGAGTAACTGGAGTGTTAAATCTCATTGACTATATGAAGAGATAGAATGGGCTCTAAGGTTTAAGAAAAGGTATGTAGTGGAGAGTTGTGTGGTCCCTTTTGGACTCCCGGTACATTCTCAAGGAATTGGTTCTACTTGATTCTCTCATGGATAGTAAGTCCCATCAAACACATCACCATGCCTCCAGGAAAGATAATTCCTTTTCCCTTTTGTTCTTCAATCCTCTATCTCAGTGGGGGAAAAAGACGAAGATGCAGACTAAGAACATAATTGTATTTCAGTCATCACCATGCCCTGTGCTGCTGGCACTGTTTGGGCTGCAGGGTGATCAAAACCATGCTGAAACTAGGGGAAGCATGGCCATGGAGTTTTATGTATTTTAATGCAGAGCAGGAATCATGGCACTGCACCCAGGCTGCCTGTCCCAGCTGAGCGTTGCTGTCTAGGTGGGCAGCAGGCTTTTAAAATACACAGAGCAACACAGGATGAACGATTTCTTATTTTAATTATTATTTGCTTACTGCTACCACCCTTTTTTTGGCTCTATTCTTCATTCCCAGGTAATATTTCAATGGATTAGGCAATACTGGTACTTTAAAGCTACAGAAGAGTCAGTGTTAGGTATACATCCAGGGTTATGGCAGCACGAGTCCATAAGCTCACAAGCTCGTTTAGAAAGATTTGTTTTTCAGTGCAGGACCTGTTATGTAAGGATTTGTGATGGTAATAAACTGCATAGCTGGCAGTTACTGCTAATGCTTAACAGATGGGGTTAAATTCTTCTCCATCAGAGTTCAGAGGCGGTTTCTGATATGGGAAAATACACTCATTGTAAATGTAAGACAATTTCGGTAAAGGAACAGTAATTATTCTCATATGTTCCTAGATGCAGCTGCCACTACATAAGGATATCTGTCACACAGGTCAATTAGAAAAGAAAAACTGGAAGACCTTTGCTGATAACTTGATTCCCATTTGGTTTTATGTTTTCGTTTGGAAGGAATTTGAATTACTTGTTTTTATTTTGCTTTTTTTCTTTTATCTTTGGTTCTTTTTTCTTTTTTTCATACATGGCTGTAGCGATGCTGAGGTTCTGGTTGCTTAGTGAGCAAAAAGAAATACCAAGAAAGTAGAGCCCAAACAAGTGGCTTCCAGACAAGGCAGTTAAATTTGGAGTGTGTGCTTTCTTTCACGTATGGTGGATACTTTTCCACTTAAAGAGTGGAAAGCCCTCACTGTAATTTGACTTCTGCAAACCTTTGAAATGAAACTATGTGAAGCATGAACCTTCACTAAGGTTCAAACCTGTGCTGCCCCATCCCACCCCTTGTTTGAGCAGCTTGCACTCACTAGTATCAGATGAGCTAAAAAAAGAGGGAGTTGCCACCAGACCCAGTCATGGAGCACAGCTGTGCTGCACAGAGAAACACTGGCAACCAAGCAGCAGGAGATGCCTTCTGGGTCCATCCCCCAGTCCCACCAAAAACAGTCCTGTCTCCAGCACAGAGCCTGTTAGGGTGGGATGCAAGGAGCCTACATACAAAGAAATCCATCTTTTGTAGGATTTGGTCTTTTTCACTATTACATTTTCTGTTTGCAAGTGAGATGAGCGTAGAAAATTATTCACAGAGAAGATTAGGAAAAAATTAATCATCTTAAATAAACTATGAAAACATGCTTATTTCCCCTCTGCACCCCCTCTGTTTGTGGATAATTCCTGCGTCTACATTTTGCTATTGAAAACACAAAGGAAGCGAACAAGGCTTCCACAAAAGGATGTTCATCCTTCAGTAATTCCTGACATTCATAGCAGATTTGAAATGCCTGTCTTTCAACAATAATGCAGTGTTTTTCACTTTGGTGTCTGAGGAAAGAAATGCCTGCATTTTTTACTGATGGATGAAGTGCTGCAAAACTGGAGCTCTTGTTAACCATGGCTGTTAACAGCTTCTATCGAGTGGTTTGCCCTTACCTAAACTTAAACCTGACCCATCATGGGCAGCAGTTAAGTTGAACATGGTCAATACTTGCTAAACAGATTACCTGTAATTGAAAAATGAGATTTGAGAGGATTGAAAGAGTCTCATTGCTTCCTGCAGTACTTCTTTTTGTGTTTTCTCTGTACTTCCATTCCCCCTGTAGGTTGTCTGTCTGGTAGCATTCCTTCAGCTGTCATTTGTTCATTTTATTCCATCCAAGTGTCTGACCACTGTCCATGATTCATTTTCAGTTCAATGCGAGTTCTGGGGGATGGTATAAAGAAGCCTCCCATTCATAGAAGAAGGTACAAAGCCAGCTAACGTGACTAACCATTTTGTGTTTAAATGTCTACTAACTCCATATGTCACCTTAATGAACCTGGAGTTCCCACCTCTCCAAGAGCTGTGCTAGAGTACCGTGTCCCGCTTGCCTGCTTTCCCTCTCCAACCTAACCCTGAGCACAAGCTCAAGCCACTTTCTCCAGAGCTTGGAGCAATCTCAGACATAGGCTTTGGCGTGTGTCAGATTGGGATTTATGACAATAACCATTTACCTGCAGGCAGGGGCATAACTTGTTCCTAGAGCACGAGAGCTGTGCGCCAAGACTTGCAGGAGGGGCATTGCTGAGGAGATGCACCGAAACAACCTCAGAGTCATGGGTTGCTCTGCAGGTCTGCAGCTGGTTAAATTACATGCTGTTCTTTAAAACAACCTCCCGGACAAATAGAAAGTGTTTTTTTTTCTTTGCTTCCATGGGTTTTCTAGTTTTCTTCTGCATAGCAAACTTTCAGTTCCGCATCCATACATACTTTCACTCACACAACCTTTCAGCTGCCCATTAACATATGAAACAGGCTGCTTCGTTTCTGACTCAGCACTTGTGTGGACTGTCCATATTTATACATCTTCAGGTTCCAGAAAAAGAGATGTTTCACCACTCCCCTTCAGCAGTTTGGCCTTTTCTGATCTCCCTCCCCACCCCCTGCAGCCATTCCTCCTGCAGCAGGTTAACTGAGGACCTCCCATGACACAGCTGTGGTTACCTGACGTGCGTGTGAGACGTGTGTTTAAACAGACTACCAAATTTCCACATGTGGGAGAAATGTGAGGAGGGCCTCACCGTGCATCAGCATAAATGAAGCCGCTTGAGCAGTGCTGTGCAGTTCAGGGGAGGGCTCTGACAGGAAAGGCACAAGAAAGAACGTGCTTTTTTACTTCTAAGAAGCCGCTTTATTTGCATGACGCTGCTCTGGAGGAAGCAAGCACTCATCTTCTTAGTTTATGCAAATGAACACCTCTTTAGCAGTCACTATTAATACTGTTACAGCTCCCACAGAGGAGACCTTGAGTCATAATATTTTGAAACTTTGAACTTAAAGAAAATGTCTCAAACAGGCAACCCAAAATGTTTAGTCAAATCTGATAATGTCCTGATGTTCTTTCATAAGCATTCTCTGTCCTTCTTTTCTGGCTTCCCAACCATTTTGCTGTTATCCCCTCTAACACCAGTTGCAGAGCGGCAGCCTGAAATTTAATTTCAGCAGATCTCACACAAGGCTGTTTTCTATAATTGCACTCCTCTTCCCCAAGTCTTGTTCTGTGAAGGCTTTTTGCATGCTATGCAATGATCTTGTGCAGTTTGATGGTGTTGCCAGCAGATTGTGGGTGGTTCATCAGCAAGATTATAATTCTGGAAGACTCTGCTTTCCAGAACCCTTGCCAAAAGATCTTTATTCTTCTTTGAGATCTTGCACCACTTTCTGGCTTCCTCTGTTATGCATGCACAGCTCCTCCCCCTCCTCTCTTCTGCCTTCCTTCCCTGCAGTTGTAGCATTAGAGATTGTCACTATACCGCGACATCATTCAGAAATAGAGGCATCTTTTGAATCTGGTGTAAACGTACACATCTTTATGGAGTAAAGTTGTCTGTTCAATTTGTAAGCAACCACGAGCTTCTGACTTCTGCAAACAAGTCAGTGACAGGAAGTCAACATGAGCACAGCTCCAAGGGTCCTTAGCCCAGCAGTCTCGTGGCCACAAACAGGTGGCTTGGGAGAGCAAGAAAAGGAAAAGCACTGATGATATTTTCCTTGAGACACTTGCTCAGCCTTCAGCTAGTTTCCTCTGGGTGGGTTTTACTGACCCAGCTCAGGGTTGAACATAGGTCTGAAAGTGCAGATTGAGGTTGATGGTGCAAAGGGGTTTGAGGGGTTTCCTGTGAACACGAGGATATGTTTCTTTTAAGTATTTAGCCACATCCCTCATTTATACCTTCCTTTGCCACATGGTGTAGTTGTATAATGAAATATTGATGTATGATGGGAGGGTCTCCATAAGGAGTGCTTATGGTATTGAGCCGAGAGCTTCTTAGGTAAGCACCTAGAGCTTTGGGTTGCAAAGCACAGGTACTTCAGATGTATCTTAATAAAGCAAGTAGCAATTATCTGAATTCCAACACTGAATATCAACCATAAATACTTCCGAAATGTTTCCAGTGTTGTACTGTGCATGGGAGCAGTGCAAGAACTTGACATGCAACGGATGCAGTCAGTGACTTTAAACACTTCTTTGTGACATCTGAGGTTCCTGACGTTTCACAAACCGTGATCCAGGGACACTCAGACTTGTGCTGCTCATGCTGTAGGCTCCTGGCTTGGATCAGAGCATGCTCTGGCCACATCCTCTCCATGCATGGCCCACAGGGGAGGGCTGGGAGCAGGACTGGTGCAGCACTGCTTGGCAGATCTATGCTGATGCAAAATTTCCTTCAGACTTACGTTTCCTGGACAGCCTTTCTGGTATTTAGAGGTCTTTTATATGCCATAGCTGACAAGAAGATTGATTTCTCTGTATTTGCAAAAGCTGCAATTGGCCCATGAGATCGCAGAGAAAAAATAACAAAAGCGGTATTTAAAATGACAACCAAAATATTTGCGTTCTGCATTTGCATTGCTTATGTCTTTCCTGGTGCAACTTGGGATTCTTCGGGGGTATGGGATTTGAAAGGCTTTCTAGTCAAAGCACTCCTTGAAGGACCCTGATTTGAATGAATCCCAAGTTAGCAGCAAGACGAGCTTGTTTTTCCTTCCAGCCTCTTTCACTGACTTGCTGTGCAGCTTTTAAGAATGTAACTCCCCTTTCTTATTTTTCCCAAGTGTAGCCTGAAGTTATTAATTCTTGTGTGGAGGAGACTTTGCGTGATTAAATATTTGTAAGGGGCTCTTTTTCTGATTGTAGGAGACAGGTACCAGAAAATACTAATCATTACTAACACAATGGCTGTGTGATTACTTATGCAAAAATGACTTTGCTGTGTCTCAGCCCTGTGTTCCCAAAAGCATCTCTCCCCACCAGGAACAGTTTCTGTTGTACGCTGGCAGGGTGGGATGGGTGTGAGGGAAGCACGGGCTGCCCCGCTACCTGTTTGGTGTGTTCTCACAGCCGGAATCATACGTTAGTGACGGTTATTTCTGAGGGCTTTTTTTGTGTGTGTGTCTGTTTGTTTTCATTTTATTCAGAAATGAGAGTATTTTAACACTCCCCTGTGCCGTAACTAGCCAATAATCACAGCCCTTTTCCTTTCTTTGCCTCCTTCAATGTTCCTAGTTTGAGCTGGTGTCCCTCTGGTGTGCAGTTCGCTGCCATGGGTCCTGACTTTAATTGTAGAAGGTATGGTATAAATAAATGTGCTGCAGCAGCAATCGAGTGCCGCAAACTGTGTTGTCAGCTTGTCGTGCATTGCCTTCTCCTCTGCTGCTCTGGCTGAAGTGTGCGCGTGTCTGTTTGCTTCGTCTGCTTTTTCAGCCATGAGCTGTGGTTATGGGTGTCCCAAACTGGGGTACGGGTGAAGGCAGTGGCTGCTTTTTGTTGGCTTTGGGTGTCCAAGAACTGCGCTTTTGGTCCGAACTGCTCTGCTCCACGATGATGTTAAGGTGTGTTTTTCTGCACGTTGGTAACTATGGCAACCATAGAACACACACTGTGTTGTGGACACATCTCTTGAGGAGTTCAGTTGAGAGCTTGTTTTGAGGAGTTCAGTTGACAGCTCGTTTGCTCCCTGTATGCTGAAAGCCTCCTTCGAAGAGGCTGATCGCTTTCTGTGACAACAGTCCAGCAGTCATAGATGGACGTTTCCCAGGCTCTCAGGACTCGCTCCTTCAGGAGAAGTCTTCAAAGTTGGAACTAATGCTTGCAGGTCAGATCTCTACCTGATGCCATGCTTTCGCATAACTGGAAGCCACCCTCATGGAGTTTACAGCCTGTTTTTCTCTGGCATTTCTTGCTGGGCGTGGGTAGAGCTATTGACACTCTCTTTCTAAAGGCTAGATGTTGGGAAAGAAGTTAATCTGTCCTTCAAGTTACAAAATTAATTCTGTTTCATCTACGTACTAACAATTACAGAATGGTATTACTAAATGATAGCTATTTTATGGCAGTTTTGAACAGAGTTCTTTGTGTTACAACAAACTGCATTTTTTCTGTACTCTGTAATATTGTTATTGTTATCTTGGGATAGAAGAAAAAATGTTCCTGAGCCCTAAATAATTGGTGAGAAAGGGACTCATTTCTCTTTGCAGGTGTTTTAGAATTAGCTTTACGGTGCCTGCTATTGATACGCGTTGTTGAATCAAAATCTTTCTAAAGCAGATTGAATTGTAAATGCCTCATCCAGCCTTCTTTCTCATTAATCAACATGAAAAAAATCTTAAAAAATTCAACAGATCTTTTTCCTCAAGGCTTGTAGCATTTTTGGCTTTGAAGTTGCGTATTTATCAATATGGTTCTAAACGAATGCAGAAAATGAATCATTGCTATGCAAGTCTACCTGAATTTAAAGCTCCTCTGGTTGTTCAACTAATCTGTGCAATCCATAGTGTGTTTTCCCTTTCATACATTGGTGCTAGTTGTTTGTTGCCTGCTTTCAAGTCGGTAAATTGTGTTTCTTGTGACTATTTTTTTGTGGGTAAACAGAAATTGCTTTAAAAAGTGATCAACCTTTATGTTACTTGCTCATTTGGTGTTATTCTGTATACCAAGCTGGAGTACATACGTAGGGTTTATCTTGCTTCTCACCAATAGGATTTGTGCACGAGGTCGAGCATTAGTCATGGAGGTGTGAATCTGCAAAACGTGCATATTAACCCCATATGGCAGTGGGCTTTTCAGTTTTGGCATGAGGTGCACAAGGATTAGAGGCAGAATATGAGGGCTAAGAAAGATCGGATGGAAGTAATCACATCTTAAAAGGGAATTGTTTTGTGCAGATGAAAAGAGAGTGTATTAGCTTTATTTTCTGTAGAGGTCACCTGTCTATCAGCAGGTGCTGTCTCTACAGAGGTTGGCCAGATCTTTTATAGCTACCATGTTCTGCACACCAAAGGTTGGTGTTTTGAATATCACTGAGTGATTGTGTCTAGCTCCATTGGTCAGAGCTAGCTTCATCAGCAAGTGATAAAGCAACACTGAGTGGCTGATGAGGAGAAAAAAACAGGAATTAAAGGAAAAACAGCTTTGGCAGAAAGACGTTGTTGGCACCCAAGCTCTGTGCAGTGGCAAGTGCTAAGTGGATTCAGAGGATATGTCTGCAAAGATGAACATTGCATGCAGCCCAGTGCTGATTTTGTGGGAGGGCAGTGGTCCAGGACAGATAGTGTTGTGCTGTATGTCTTGTGTCACACAAGGTGCTGCTGTTTCTTCTGATTATAGCATAAATGTAAATATCTCCCCTGATATCTACACTTGTTTGTTGAGAGTAATGTGCTGAGGGATAGCATCAGCATAGCTCTGAGTGGTTCAGCTAGTGACTGCATTCTGATTTACACTTGAAAGTACTATGAGCTGTATGACACCCGTTGCTGAGAGCTCCTCAGGATCTAACCTGCGTGGTTTCTCTTCAGTTACAGCCTAGAAGGCCTTGCTGGAGACTCTGGTGAGAAGAAGAAGCCCTCTGCAAACATGGAGGCTGCTTCTCTGAGCTCCAAAGACCTTCCACGGAGCACACTCACCAGCAACCAGTGCGGCTCCCTGGTCTTGCTCACTGAAGAACTTGAGCAAGGGGAAATCAGAGACTATGATCACCAGGTAAACCTGCCCAACCATTACTGCATTTCTTGGAAAGTCTGCATCTACATTTTAAAATTTCCTTTTTCAAGGTGGCAATGAAGGCTTCTACCCTGTACGTGTGATATAATCAGCCTTCTGTTTTAACACAGAGAAATTGCCACTTTGTTCAGATGTGCTGCTTGGATTCTTGAAGCAGTACAGTTGATAGATGATGTCCTAGTGGACAGAAATAAGCCTTGTAGTAATTTGTCAGTTAACATTTTAAGGTTAGCCAAAGTTTGTGTGTTTCTTTTCTTTCGCAGACACAACTAGAATCAGAAGGCACATTATAAGCAACAGTTTAGCAAAATTTTAATTGCATGTTAATTGCATTTAGTGTGATCTCTGGAGCAGAAGTCTGTGATATTAAGGGTAGATGGACCAAAACATTGTGAGAGTCTCTGATTATTTTTATTAAATAAGCAATTATGCTCTTAAATACTTTAAAATACCCTTTATTTCAGAGCTTGGTGTTTCAGCCATGGTTCATTCTGGGAACCTGCCAGAATCATTAGTCAGCCCACCTTCTCTACCTCGTGGAGTCACTGCTGTCTATCAAGGGCAGTAAATGAGTCTTGCAGGTTCTGACCAGTGAGAACTGATGTGTGAAGGCTCTTATGCCTTCTCTTGTGTTGAGGAATGGCATTTTGGAGAAGTACAGCTAAGCGTCAGGTTTGTTACAGCGAGGAGCCAGAATCACAGCAGTAATTTCTGTGCCTTGAGAACATCCACCTTGCAATAGCTCGCAAGAAAAGTTAGCAGCTAGTTTCTATTCCAAAAGCAGTTAGTTGCCTTCTACTTAAAAGAAAATGTTGCATTTTAACAACTTGATGCTGCTTGCATTTTTGGTTCTTGCATTTTTCACCTGTGCCTTACACTGGGATTGTTTGAATTCCCACTGTTTGAAAGCATGAATTTCAGTAATTTGATAGTTTATTTTTTCTTCTGTTCTGCAGATCCATCAAGCACCACACCCACAAGGATTCAATTTCTGCACTTCCTCCGTTTCGTCTTCACTGACCAAATCTGTGTCTTTAATGTCAATTAGTAAACCATCTCTGGACAGTGAGTAACACGATTCCCATAATCTCCTTCTTCTCTCTTTTCCTATGTGTTATATATACCTACCTTCCCAAGGCACAATTTACTAGCACTTGCTTTTCCATTTTATGTGACATATATATTTCACTGCAGAATGAAATTGTGGGTGGAAAGCCAGAACTCATTCAGTTTAGATTCTTATTTTGTTATTCCCAGTATATCCCTGCTGTTTCTAGTTATGTTGTTTTCATTTGCTTCTTTCATAATTATACTACTGCTATGAAAACTGTGATGTATTGAGTTCGTTATAAAAAAAAAAAAGTATGTTTGAATTTTGTACCATTTCAGAGTTGCTGCTTTTGGTGTTGAGGTAAATTCCTTTTGGGATGTTGTTTTCCTGCTTTTGATTTTTTTTTAAAGTTGCTATGTGTCGTGGTCTCCTGGGGGGAGTTTGGTGCTATTTCTTTTGTTGAGATAATGACTTGGGGGCAGATGGGTGCCATTTATTAAATCTCAATCCTGAAGCAAATTGTAAATGTTGATTAGGGGAAGTTTTTCAATTTAGGTTAGCCTGATTGAAGCAATAGAAAGCACTTAATTTTGCAGCTTCACTGAATTGATTCTTTCAGCTGAAAAAGTCACTCGGAAGGCTCCAGCTGGATGTGCTTAGGAAGGGCCATGTTACACATGCTTTCATTTTATTAACTGCCAGCCAGAAAATGTATTGACTTTTTACATCACATCTTGTCAATCGGTGATGATTCCTGATCTTTTCCTCTTTATTAGCGTGCTTTTTCCTTGAAGCTGTGCCATACACATCTTGTTCCTATTGCACGCAATTAGAAGTGCAGGGCAGCAGCCTGGCCCAGGGCTCATGTGCTGTGATTAGCACAACCCTGCTTCCCCAACAAAACCAAACCACCACTTTTTTTTCTTTTTTTTTTTGTGGTCAGTTGGCCAAGCATCTTCCCATGCAGTCAGCAGATGGGCAAGGGGTTTACGTGATGGCTGTACGCCCTCAGATGAGGCATTGAGATGCATTTTGGTGCTGTGCAGCTGAGGTTAATGACAAGTTGTTAACTTGAATGGAAACATCAGGTGCAGATGGAGCTGTGTGGAGGAACCACAAATTCTGCAAAGCTGGGCATGGAAAGGTGCTTCAAAGAAAGGCATTTTATTCATCTGTTGGAAGAAGCTCACAGAGATTGTGTTTGTAGGAGACATTTCTAACTTCTTTACAATCATTCTTCCATGATTAATAAGCATGTGGCTTAACAGATGTGGCCCCAGCAATGGTAACCAAAACACTGGCAAATCCATCCCATGAAAAGACCAGCTCCTGCTCCATGCTGTGCTTCGTCTTCTTTCCTTCTGGTGCTGGAGGCTTTCATGATTTTTTAAAAGCAACCAATTTATTGCCGTTGCACACAGTTGCTAACCAAACACTGTAAATAACTTGACCAACTCCCAGAAAATGCACATTCGGAGGCTGAGAGGACCCAGCAGGTTGATGCTGTTCTCCCTCTTGCTTGATGCTTTCCTTCAAACTCAGAGAAGAGGGGTGTGATGACACTGGAGGGTTCACAGAGTGATTGAGGTTGGAGTGGAAACTCTGAATGCCACCTGGTCCGGACATCTAGGGAAGGTTGCCTAGGACTATGTCCAGAAAATGTGCCTGGACCATGCCCAGGATTTGTGCCACTGCCTTGGAATAGGAGAAATTGCCAACTTGCCCCTCTTTTTTGTCAAATCACCCACATTAAAATTGTCATTGAGGCCTAAGTTGGTGGTAGACAAGTTTGGTGGTCCCACATTCCCTCTTTATTGTCAGCCTAGCCATTATGGTCTCACTGAGGTAGAAGGAAAAGAAGATACGAGATGCCTAGAGGGACTGTAGAAGAAATAGCAGGGTTAGTTCTGCTTCAGGTTACACGTCTGTGAGTTTTGGATGGTGGTATTAAAAATGACTGATGCTTGTGTGCTTCAATTTTTCAATAGTCAGCTTGCAGCACCTCAGGAGAGCCTCATTTTTATAGCAAGGTGGTTTCTGAAAATTGCTGTTCTGAGGTGGCTGAAGTGAGCATCCAGAAGGATTACTCAACTTGACAAAGTCTCTTCCCAACTCTGATACTTTCCTAACTTGGGAAACTTCAGTAGATTACTTTTTCAGTCGCTCTGAAAGAGGAATAAAGTTACTGAGAGCTGTGAGTGCATGTTTGGCAGCTTAGTGTTTTTCATGAGGGGAGTCTCAATTCTTGTCACCTTCCTTTGAAATTCATGTTATTGCACCAGAATGCTTTTGAACTATGCAGAATAAATCCTTCATTTCACGCAGGTGTATCTAGGAAAATGTAATTATCTACGTTTCTATATTCCACTTGCATCATTTTATGGTAGATGCTTTTTAAAAAGGAATTCCCAACCCCTGCAAATATGTTTGAGTGATAAGGGCAGCAACATGTTTTTCAGAAAAGCTTCAAAAATTAAATCCAGTCAAGTAAACAGATGGAGGATTTTCTGTTATTGTTCCCATATACTGCTCGAAGTCTTGAGGCAGAAGCAGTTTCCAACACTGAGTTTCTAACCCACGCTCCATCTGATGTCTCAGATGTTCCAAGAGTTGCTGTGGCCATTCACAACTGTTAGTTTTTTAGCGTTTTATGGAGGGAGGTCACAAGAGCTGTTGGCTGGAGCGCTCGGAAGACTGCTTTCAGCTTTGGAATAGCAAATTTCCAGTATGGAGCATTGTTATAAAGCCAGGAACTGCTATAAATAAAAGCACTGAAATGGGAATTGAATTGAACTGTGCTGGAGGAGGTTGTTCTATTTGCGGTAAAGTATTATTGTTCATCTTGACTTTTAGTCTAAATAGACAGTAGACTGCAGAAGAAAGAAAGCATGGTGTTGCCTGGTCGTGTTCTTCAGATCTTGGATACCAGATGAACTCCTCTGAGAGGCAGCCTAAACAAAATAAATGTCTGAGTCTTTTCAGAAGTTCTTCACTTTAAATGCCTTTCACTGGGTTCCAGTTTAGAATTGCTCTGCTTCATTTGAAGAAGTGTGCACTTAAGTTGAAGAAGCACGTACGTAATTTGAGTCAAACCCTTTTGGTCAATGGCATTTATGACTAATGGCTGAAGGAAATTTTCAGGGGAGTTAGCTTTGCATTGATTGCATTGCATGGATATTCTTTGGATAATATTTTCATCTTCTGAATTCAGTTTTGGCGTATGATATCAGCAACGCAAAGAATTCTTACTGTTTTATTGTTCTAAATTCTTATTTTCATTGGCTGAATAATATTATTGGCTGAAAGGCCCTTCCCCTTCACTTGCATGACCAGAGGACAGATGCCCTCATAGTGTTGGAGTGGTGGATATTCAGCAGCCTGGTGCTCGTCAGATCACAGCACAGAGGTTTCCACCTGTGATCGTATGATGGGAAGTTTTAGGAAGTACAGCTCTGTTATCTCCATGAGAAGTGGTGTAGCAGTATCAGTGAAAAGAGGTGCCAGCTGGCTCCTACATCCCTTTTCAGAGAAACCTCTACTTACAAAGAATTTTTGTAAGGCTGATGCTGTGCTCTGCTCCTAATTTTTTTTTTAAACAGGAATTGCAGTAAACCATCCTAATTTACTAAGTTTTCAGGCATGGCCATAAACAAATAGCAGCAATTCCCTGAGAGTGTGCACAGCAATAGAAAAATGTAACTTCAGAAACTGAAATAAGCAGATGGCAGAGAGTATTTGAAAAAATGCATTTGAACTCATTTGTGTTATCCTTCTGATGATGAGAGATCTGGTGTTGCAGACGGATTGCCGAGTTTAGCTCTGTATTTGGTAGACTCCTAGGCTGGGGCTGGGCAGGATGCAGAGGGGCTTATCTCGAGTTTAGGCATTTTCTTTTAAACAAGATAATGAGTTTTACAAGAAGACAGTAGAAGAGGTGGTTGTTTTTTCTGTTTTGTGGTGGAGAAAAAGGTAATGGATGCTTTAGGCTCTCGGTTTTAAAGCTGAAAGCTTTGAAGGACGTAACATTACCAGAATGTTGTGTTTTTTAAGAAATGGAAACAGGGAGAAGTTCTCCAGGTAGATTAAGTTGACTTTTCAGATAAAGTATCCTTGCTGTATCTGACAGCTGCGGGGTGTCATTTAACTGCAGAACGCATCATAAAACTGATATCTTGTGTTGTTTTAGTTTGATTCCCTTACAATTATTTCAGAGAGGCAGATAACCTTTGTCCGTTATGAGTTCCTGTAAATGTATGCCAGCAAAATGTAAGGAAAGCCTTGAACGTTGCATTGTGCATGCAGTAAGACCTGCATCCCCTGAAACCTGCACCCTCTGCAATTTGCACATTCTCAATTCTTTGTTTCTTGTGCCTCTTCTGAAGCCAGATGCTTTGCAGACATTTCCTTTGCTTTGTTTCTAGTTTGCTTTGGCTGCTTTCCTCTCCTTTTTATTATTAAATACATTTTCAAGCATGCTCTAATGTCTGCTGTTAACCCACTTCTCAGCCCAGGGCCGGACTCGACCATCGAGACGAATCTCCTTCTCCTTCAGCATCTCTCCACTCATTCCTAAGTCTAAAACTCTCTTTTCTATTGGCTCTTCTTCCAGTGATGAGGAGGAGGAGTTGGATAGTAAGTAATCGTTTTCTGTGCATTGCAGCCATTATGGGTCTAAACAAAGGGAAATCTGTGTTTCTGCTTCAGACTTTGAAGTTTCACTTCGCAAACATTAAACTAACCTTTCTGTCGCATGATATCTAACAGCATTATTTTAGTCCTGTATCTGAATGCTAACTAATGGCAGAATAACAGGTTTATAATCCAAAGAGTCTTGTACACCAGCAGTGCTGAATCTCGTCCAGTTAATTTTGGTCTGTATCCATTTGGTGAATGTTGTCACCACTCACTTTAACTGGCAGTGTTGTCATTACCTGTTTATAAAAAACAAAGTACTTGTCTTGAGATTGTTGCAGCACATGGAATTAAGAGGAGGAACAGAGCCTCTGTATGTGAGAAATGACTACATTGCTTGATGGGAACAGGAAAAGAGAGAAGCCCTGATGGTAAATTCAGAAAATTTTGGTTACAGCTCCACAGTTGCCCTACTGAGTACAATGCAAGCCAAACACCTAAGATCATCAAGGTGTTTGTGTTAGATCCTGATTTTAAAACTGGAATAATTTTGTCAGGAAGCTGTATAGTGCCATGTGTGGTAGTTTTTCTTCCTGCTGCTAAACTTCTTTGTTCAAAGTAAATCCAACTGAGGCAGAAGCTTAAATTAGTCATTAACCTCCTCCTCCTTTTCCTCTTGTTTTTTCTTAAGTAGACATAACAAAAATATTGAAGGTGCTTCCTCTTTCTTAAACGTGTTTTGTATTATTAGACTACTGAAATAAACTAGAACGGATAACACTCTATCTATAGAGGTAATTCAGAACTGGCTTCATCAGCTGGTTCTAATACGAGCTTCCATCCCTTGTATGCACAGTGGGAGAGGAGAAATTCCTTTCCAGTCCAACAGATTTTGGTCAGTTTTTGAACCTGAGACCACTCAGTTTTTTAACCCTATCCACTCCAAATACCTGCTGCATGTGTACAAGTTTTCCTCCTTTCCATTCCCAATCTTCACTGTGGATTTGTCCCTTGCTATAAGTTCTTCTTGGGTATCATACCACCCATGTCATTATTTAAGCTCTCTCCTCTCCTTTTGCTCTGTGCTGTCTTTAACAAAACTCACGATTTGTGGTCCTCACAAAGGCAGGGGTGCTATGGCAAAAATAAAAAATAAAAAAAAAATTAAAAATTTAAACTTTTTGATGTATTTCTTTTTGAGCATCCAAACACTGAAGTAATTCCTGGCAGTTGGGTGAGGGTACAGCAATTTTTGCGGGTATTTCTATTAGCCAGTATTTATCTTTGCTCCCTTACTTGTGCTGTGTTACTGACAGCTATTTGAAGTAAGGTCATACATTTTCTCCCACAGAAATGTTGCTTCTTTCACATGTGTTATTCTGTCATATTGGAGAGTAGTGTTGTGACTTTATATAAAGGTTGGTTTAGCTACAGCTAACTCAAGATCCCCTTGGCAAATGGACATTTTTCATGTAAAAATTCCAGATATCTATTTCTTTCTTCACATCTTCAAGGTTCATAGAGGATGGATATGTTGATCTCATCACGTATATAAAACATGGTTTTCAGATGGCTGGACAAGCCAGACTGCATCTGAGAAAATGTTTAATCGTTGTGATGAAGCCTTTGGATTTCTTGGCCCAGAGAAGTTGAACTGCTGCCTGCATTGAGGGTTCACAGTATGCTAGTCCTATTGCTGCTTTCTGCATAATGGACCTTGAGTGATTGTTTCAGTTCCAGCCACCATGTGAAGTAATTTTGAATGGTGAAGTTAAAAGATGTTTAGATAAATACACCAAAGTTTGGCTGCTGACACAGCAATGGACATACGCAGCGATTCTGACCTTTAAGAAAGAAAAAGCACCTCTTCTGTGGGCCATGAAATCTGTTTTAGCATTTCAGTTTTGTACCTGGCCATGACAGGAAACGCTTGTGCTCAATCTGGGAGCGTGTCCTTTTTTATGCTCATCTTCATGGGCTGTATAACCTGCAGCAGAATATTGATTTTATGATGCTAAACTGTAACCTAAAACTTGGACTGTGAAATCATAAACAGGCCATCACCTTGTTTTTTGTCTGGATATGTTTTGCCCGTCAAGAGTCTCCCATTTGTAAGACAAAATACTACTGCAGTAAAAGATAAATAGAGCGTAATTGAAGTTCCCACGCAATGTACTTTCTCAAGGTGCTGAAAAACAGTCATGAATATCAAATCTTTATAGCTCTTGATTCAGTGTTCCTCTGCATTTGTTACATTAACTGCAAAGGAACAGAAAGATTTGTGAAATAGTGAATCCAGTCCAATTGAGTAAGCTGTTATAAAAAGGAAAGAGTGGGGAGGCTTGACCCATGCAAAAGAAAAGCAGAGCCAGAACAAAACCCAGAGTCTCCAGGGGTCTCACCAAGGATGGAGGCTGGGAATTACTTCTGTGATCTTAGGAGACAATTAGGCAGTAGGTAGTATCAAAAAAACCCTCTATAATCAGGAAATGGAAGTGGAGACTTCATTCAGTATGCGTTATGGTATTAATCAGATTTTTTTGGATAGCTCATTAGTTAGAGGGAAGATTTTGCAGGTGAGATCCCGAGAGATCTCCAAGCAGGGATTAGGTTATGCAGTGCTTTAGTTTACACAAATAAAGAGGCGACGCTTCTGTCTCAACCAGTGCTGATACAATCAGCAATTAGGAAAACGTGTGGTTTAGACTCACAAGGCATAATGTTGTATGCACAGTTTTCCTTAATGCACTTTTGGATACAGGACGATCTTTGCCTCTTCAGTGAGGTGCCTTTTTGTGTGCATCAGTAGCATTAATGCATTAACAGAATTTGAAGTCAAAAGGCTGGCTTTCTTCAATGCGTATGCAGAAGCCCAGCAAGATGCAAGTGGTCCTTGCAGTGAGCTGGGGGCTTTTGGAGTCCTGACAACCAGAGGGTCTTTTCTCCCCTCTAAATCATTTCATCACCATTTTTCAGTATTCTTCCACGTTTCTGGTAAATGGTATCACCTACCTGACCTGCCCTGCAAGCGTTGTGCAAGCAGCTTTCTTGTGATGTACAGAGACGACGTGTCGGTGGCAGAGCTTCAGCAGTGTGTCACAAATCAGCCTTCATCCAGCACAGTGCTGTGGGGCTGAGCTCTGTCCTGGCAATGCATTGAGGAAAATGGAATAAGGCTTCCCTTGTTTCCTTTATTCTTTATGAAGCGTTTCAGGATTTTGTTGGGAAAATGAACTATAATTTTATCAGGGAGGAGAGTTTTGTACATGAAACCCAGATGTGTTGCACAATGGATTCCTTCTAGTGATGTGTCAATGAAAGTATTGTGGCAGAATGATTTGCTTTCATACCTATTGTGATTACCCTGGCAGTTCTGTATCAGATACTCAGATTTACTAGCCAAGTTAACAGGTACACATCATTTGCTTAATAGCTGAAGAATGATAAAAAATACTAAGCAATCTTTCACCTCAGCTTCTAATCTGAGATCATCTAAGGTTAAGGGGAACAGACTTGATCCTGAGCACATGAAATCTGTTCTCTCCCTCACTTCTGATAAACATTTCCCTCTCCTCTTTGACTGTCCAAACATGGAAACTGTTTTTAAATCAGTGAGCTAAGACTGTAGCCTAACGCTGCCTTCACCTGCCATCTCTCCTCTCTTCCAGGTACTCAGGCATTTGGTGGCCCCGCGGGTTCCTTGGTTCAGAGGTACGGTATTTTGGGATTCCCCAATTCTTTTGGCTCACCTGTGATGTGCTCCCATTTGGAATACCAGAAGTCTTCCTAGCAAAACCTCAAGTGTGTTAATCAGCCCCTTGGCATATTTTAAACAATACAGTGTGAAAATTGGTTTAGGTCTTAGCTCTAACAAGGCTTTATTCGCAGATTAATCCATCAGACTGTTATTTAACCCAATGAGTTTAACCTGAGTTGTATTTTATGCTAGAAGTAGTAGTTTTTCCTCCCTTTATCAAGTCTGTCTGTATTTCTTTAATGATCTTTGTTTTTTTTTATGTTCCTTTGCATCCTTGCAAACTGTACAGAGGTGATCTCTGCAATGGGTGTAATTCCTTAATCTTCTGTAGAAACTGAGGAGGTCATAAGCTGGTCCATGTAAAGGCAGGCAGAAAAAATATGACATCCACAATATGTGTAACTGAATCTAAATAACCATTGCACTTTATTTTCTGTTGGTATTCTCATCTCTCTGGGGTGGCTTTACAGACGGTGTGGTTTCTGTTACAGACAGCCTTTTCACAGGGTTCATTATGCACCGTGCTCGGGAAGGAGATCTCCCATTAAAAGATGTCCATCCCTTCTGCCTGCCCAAAGCCTGAAATAGGCTGCATGCTGACAATTAAATGCCAAGGCTGATGTTTCTGTGCACAAAGGGACAGACTTTTCCTCTAAGCAGGCAGATGCTGAGCAGGTTATTTGTTATTTGGCTGTTGAAGCAGCAGAGGGTGCTGTGGCATGCTTTGAGGATGGAGATTGCTTAAAAAAAGACTTCCTTGGAACATGTGGCAAACTGCTTGATTGGTATTTTGCCTTTATTGCCTTCATGTGTGTAACACATTAATCCATGCCCCTGCAGAATAACAAATGCATTTGTCCTTTAAAAATGTACCACATTTGCCCTTTAAAAAGTACCTATCCTCTTCATATGTGCTTTGGGAGAAAAAATTGAAAATAAAACCCTGCTTCTTTCTTTTTTGATTTTAGCATATCTGAAGAGAGCAGCAGTGTCCCCTCTATTAAAAGTGGAACAAAAGTCAGTCGTACCTTCAGCTACCTCAGGAATAAAATGTCCAGCAGCAAGAAGAGCAAGGTAAGTGCTTTTTGTAGTTTGTATAGCCATGAGAAACCTATAGGCAGCAAAGATCAATTATGTATTTCAGTGTGTTTCCATAGCGTGGTATTTATGTCTTCACCCGACTTTATTTTTCCTTTTGCAAGGGGAGGATCTTCTGTACGGTCCTTGAGAAGAGCAGTGTGGGAAATTTTAGCGGCCCCAAATTAAAATGCATCCAAGGCAAAGGTTTCCTGTGCAATGTTTTGGCCTCTTTTTCCCTGCTGAATTGTTTTTCATTTTAGAGAATAGATTGCATTCTAGCATGAGTTACGGTTTTGCAGTGATTGATGGGTCTAATTTTTACAGGGCCTGAGAGGCATTTAGCAAAACGAAGACAGGAGCTGTAAAAAGCTGGCTACCAAAGGTTTCTATCATGTTTCCCCTTTTTTCCTACCTTTGTCACAAAGTTTCTACACACTGCTCAGTTGCTCAGACCACGACCTTGAGAGATGGCTATTGCTTATATTTTCCTCCATTTCTGGAGGAAGTGGGTTGAGTTTGCTGAAGGTTAAACACTTTCTCAGCACAGTCAAATTTCCTGGGAACAGAACTGGTTATAGAAGTAATTACATTAATGCTGAGTGCTTCACAAAAACAGACTACTTTTCCTTTAGATTGTCCCCTGAAGATGAATATATGTTTGGTTTTTTTTGTTGTTTTCTGTTGCTTGGATCTTTTTCTCTTTAATCTCATCCCTATTTACCATGTCTGACAGATAGAAGCTATCTTAGCACCTTAGCTCACAGCATGCAGTCTACGTTGTGTGCTTAACTGATGCCTAACTACTGTGTTGATAAATCCTATTGGAAGGCCCCTGAAACACGTAACTACATCTTCAGATAAGAGTTGGAACAGCAAACAGGAAACAAGTTGTGGCATGATGCACAGTGCCTATCATGTAGTTACAGGGGGGGTCGCAGCCTGTCTGATTCATTTAGCATTTAGCACTTGGTCTGTCACCCTGTGCTCCTGTGATATAGGTGGGTTTGTGCTGTATAGTGGCATGGTGCACATTTAAATGCTCACTTTTGGAAGATTGCATCACCATTGCAATGAGGTATCAGCTGTAATGACCTCAATGTCCATAATGTGCAGTTCCTCTTTAAGGATCTGTCTTTGAAGATGCAAACTGCAGTTACTGACAGCTCCAGGCTGCTGCTGAAGAGCTTTAAGACAATGCTGTTCTTTGCTGTGAAGTGCAGCATCCAAAAAAAATGCTCAGAAATGCCAGTGCAATACACCAGTGAGAAGCTGTGGCTCATGTTGCACAGACTGTGCACAAGACTGGAAATTCATTCAGTGGTTCTTGCAGTTTGGATCTACCATCTCCAAGTCAAGAACTAAATGTAAACAACAGGTTTTGTTGGGGCAAGCAGGAATATATGGCAGATATTTGCTGTGTCTTTCTGAGAATCATGGGATCACTAAGGACAAGAAAAGACCACAGAGATCATCTAGTCCAACCATCAACCTGTTCTTAAATAAGTGTAATCTATTTGAGTTCACTGAGTTCATGATTGTGTTTGAAACTGTCAATAAAACTAGAATTACTCCAAACTGCCAACCATCACTCATACACTCAAAATTGCAGTCCATAGCAGTTCTGATGTTTTGGCTAACAAGAAAGCCATGATATCCACGTTACAATTTCTCTTCTGCTTTTAGTGAAATGTTTGTGCTACGTGCATTTTAGGACTTCAGCAGTACATTTAAATAATTCAACGTAAGACTTCTTGGGAAGGCTGAATTCTCAAACCTTAGGGCTGATTAAAACCTGCAAGATTTAAAAAGAAAAACAGCAAACCTTGAAAGAGGAAGTTGAACAGGAAGAGTTGGTTTCTGCTGCTGTCTGGGCTGTCAGCAGGGAGAGGGAGAATGCAAGTTCTTTCCAACTTGAGCCAGGATTTTCTCCAAACCTGGCTCCAGAAATGCATAGTTTTCTAAGATTAACCATAAAATAAAGCACTTTGGGGAATGCTGGTGGCAGTGGCTCTTCTTGAAAATGAGTTTTGGGGAAGTTCTGTAAAAAAAGGACGTTTGGAGTATTAACTGTGGTGAGGACACTGGTGTACGTCTGTGTGTGTTTACCCGTCTGCTGAATGTTACGCAGGGATTAGTCAGTGAATCTCTTGCAATCAGCAGCACGCACTGCTTCACGCTTTTAAGGTCTGCAATCCTCTGCGTCCCCGTCCGTTAGCAAAGCTCATTCTTCTTCCTTTTTGGCAGAGAGTTTCTGGGAAATGACGACACAAAGGTTAGCATGACTAATTTCTCCTTGACTTGTGTGGTTCGTGGGCAGCGTTGTACCAGAGCTTGGTTTTAAAGCAGGGACTGTGAATGCTTGGAAGGACCCATGGGGCAGGAGGAGTGCAAATATAGGGAACCTTCAGCGGTACTTTGTGTACTGAAGTACAGCGTTGTAACACTGAGGTGTGTTCACTTTTACTTTTTATATATCCCAGACATCACAGAGGGGTTCTGTTGGACTGATTTATCTGCGTTTTAAAAGCAAGGCCCCCGACTGACCTGCAACCTCAGTATTAACCCCATCCTTTCCTGCCCGTAGTTAATTTCTTTTCAGCAGTGGGAGGTAGAGCAGAGCAGGCTGAAAGCAAAGTAGCTCAGATCATCTTCGAGGAAGTCAGCAGAAGTCGGCCCGCCCTTCTCCCCTTTTTGCTCAACCCTTTGCTGGCTGCCACCATGGGCTAGCTCTGCTGGGAGCAGCCCTACTGCCCTGGGGGCAGAATGTCCATCAAAAGGCATCGGTTTTCGGAGGTGCCCCTCGTCACAGTGAAGCTGGTAGGACTTAAGAACTGGGAGGTAAGAATTTGGTGGTTATTTTGTAGTGGGGCTGGCTGCTGCATTGCACCAGCCATTATTGGGGGCCATCAAACTCTAAGGGTCTTTGCCTGCAGTATCTGTTAGTGTGTGCTCATATAGCATTTCAGTACCCACAGATGCACCCTCAGATTCACCGTAAAGCAGAGCTTTAAATCGCGGTGGCAGCGCTGATGGAGCAGAACAGTGCTTTTATTAGTACAGTCCTGTTTGAAAACAAGTAGCTGTCGGAGCAAAAACAAAAAATAATCTCATTTTGAGACACAATTTCAGCATTATCACTCCATCCGTGTGCAGAGCTTGCTGTTTGCTCCTTCAAGGCAGTGCACAATTTCCTGTTTCTCACCAAGTAGTTTAGCTTAAATTGAAATAATTCTTACAGTGATTTTATGAAGAATATTATTCCAGGCTGCAGAATTGCTTGGCTTTCCAGTAAGCATTGGGCACATTTGAAGCATAGGATGGTGGATCTCTTTTCAGCATTGTGAGTGGAAACAAGGTGTGCCTGGAGCATTGTGTGATTCTCTGTCCTGGGGCTTCACAAATCCTGGCAGTAGTGCACATCTCTGGCAGTCCTTTTGGTGCCATCACCAAGAGTTTAGCTGCAGTTTTAATTCTTGAATGAGGCTGGACTTGATGGGAGATAGGCAGGTGGGCCGTTGGATAACATGGGATGGTGGTGGGATGGTGATAGCTCAAGGAGGCAGAGATGTCTACAAAGCATATTCTTCCTGGCAGGTTTCCCCTTCAGGCAGTTATTTCATCCTTCAGTGCAAAAAAAAAAAAAAAGAAAGCTTTTTTGCAGTATAAAGTTTGGGGTCAGTAAATAGCATTTGTGTCCATGAGGCTTTGCAGGAAGAAACTGGGCTGTGCTGGGAGAGGGCAGCCTTTATGCTTGGTTACTGATTATTTAAGCATCAAAGGCACAAAAGTTTCCCTCCTGGTGGCTGCAGAGCTCGATATCTCTTTTAACTGTTTCTTGGCAGTTGCTCATACAGAGAGCTCTGCAGCTCTCCAATATTTAGGTTCCTCTTGTGAAATATTTACGTGTGGCATATAAGTAACAAAATGCAAAGTTAAGCTCACAGAAGCATTTGCCAGTTTCAGGTTGGCCTTCTCTTAGAGATGCCATAGAATGTTCAGTAGTAGTTGAAATACAGATTTGGAGATGAATAGAAGGAACAACATTTTACGTATAGAAATGTGAGGAATCACTATAATTCAAATGTTGAGTTTTTCTATGGAGTTTCCTACAAAAATTAGATGATAGGCTGTGTTTGGGAGATCTCTAAATCCATGAAATGTCTCAGGGGACATTTCTCACACTTAGTAGTTAGCAAGCTTCTGTCTCAGGTAGAGATAGAAAGACAAAAAACTGCTGAAAATCAGAGAAGCTGCCTGTGCTTAACATCTTTCCAGTGATCGTTGAGCAGAGGGTGGAACTTTGGCTTCCTGAAGGGATAATCTTTTTTCAGTGTTGCTGTTGCTCCTCAGTCTTTCTGTAATGCCGTATTTTGAGATGAAAGATCGTTGGCTTTGTTTGTTTGGGGTTGTGTGAAGCTCTTGAAAAAAGCTGTCCCTGCTGGTAAGGAGGAAAAAGGAGGGATAATCTGGCAGTGGTGCTGTACTGTTGTCATAGAAGGGGTTGCTTTCTCATGACACATGCATTGCAAAGCAAGCGTCTTAGAACTAGCCTTAAAAATTGTTTTGTAAGTTGGACATGCATTGTACATGGCATACGTACAATGTGTTATTTAATAAAGTTTACTGAAAGTTCTGAAGGCCTCAGTTAGAGCCCAAATGGAGAAAAAAGGTAAGTCATTAACCCAAGCAAATGTAAGAAGGCAAAGGTGGACAAACACAGCTGCCTTCAGAGCAGACTCAGTTTCATTTCCTTGAATGAGATACCCGTCCAGAGGGCTCTACAAATCAGTAATATGTAAATCTATTTCTGTGGGGCCCTGGGTGTGTTTTCTTTCTGCTGGGGAGCTGTGTAGGCCCTTGTTACGGTGTGCACCGATCGATATCGTCATCGTGCTGAAGGCAAACACTGAAGAATTTGTAACTGGAGGATAGACCTCTGCAAAGTAACAAGGCTTTCATTCTTTTTCTTGTGGCAGGAAAAAGAGAAAGATAAAGAGAAGACTAAAGAGAAGGACAAAGATTCCAAGGAAAAGGAAAAAGATAAGAAGATGTTAAATGGACATCTCTTCACTGCAACCTCCGTTGTAGCCCAAGCAATCTGTTACCACTGTATGAAACCTTTCAATAAGGATTCGTACTACTGTGCAAGTAAGTTTTGTCTTCCTTTCTGTTTTTGTTGTGCATTGAATCTGAATTGGGAAACATGAACCCAGTGCTGTACTGTTGCCATGTTTAAGCAATGGTGAGGTGGGGCAGGAAGGAGTCTTTGGGGGTGGGAATTCGTGTGGTAATGACTTATGGAAGCTGTGCAGAAGCGAATCACGGCTGCATGGAGTTGTCCTGCAGCCTCCTGCCTAGCTCCTGCATGGCAGCATCCTCTGCTTTGCGAGATGTGTCAGTGGGCTGGAGAACTTGGGTTGCTTCAGCTGTGTGTTTTGGGTTGGGGCTGAGGTGCTCTGTTAAAACTGATGCTGTGCAGAGAAAGCTATCTTGGATCAAAGCTCCTGTTTCCAGTGGATGTCCCACCCATCAGTGTTATATTGCTGTGTGTACTTGAGTAATCTGAAACACTGCTACAGTGAGCCCTTAGTGAAAGCATAATACAAAAAGGAAATGCTAGCATTTTTCTCCATTTTTATGTAATGCCAATCAGTCACCAATCAAGTGACGTGTGAAATACTTGTAAGATAGTGTAGGCAGTACAGCAACTGCATCTTTTATTAGTACAGTCCCGTTTGAAAACAAGTAACTGTCAGAGCAAAAACAAACGGAGCAAAAAAGAAATGGGGTTTCTATGAGCTTGGTCATTTTTTCCTCATTTCTCATATGGTTTCTCAGGCCTATAACTGATCAGGTCAGTGGCATTTGTGTGGTCACAACCAGAATGCGACCAGTTTATTTGGTGACTCAGAACTGCAGAATGTGTTCTCACTGCAGCTCAAGACTGTCACTTCTTCGCTATTAGTAATATTGTCTCTGTCTGCCTAGAAATGAGAGGCAAAGCCTGTACCAGCATTGCTGTCAGGCTGGGGCAGAAGGCTCTGCCTCTATTTGTTCACGCTGATCATGCATAAAACATCTTAAGTAGGAAGGGGAAGGAGCAGCTAGCTGAATCTCCAGAGGCAATTTGAAGTTTCCTGAAAGGGAAGAGATTTCATCAAACTTGTTTGCGTGAGCAATGCTCTGTGTCTACCTGATGAGAGATGGAAAGCAGCATCAATTACAGGCTTTCAGATGCATCCTTCCCCTTTCCTCGCTCTACATTTTTAACTTTACTTTAAGTCACTTAGAAGATGTATCACAATTTATCTTTTATATCCGAGTGAGTTAAAATAATCCAACAACACCGTGTTTTAGTAGAGACATCATTTCATCATTTTCCAAGTTTAAATAGAAAATTATTGCATTTTTTTCTGCATTGCCCAGAAGATGACTGTCACAAGGAAGGTTTGGTCAGAGCTGACTGTTACTCTGTACATCTGAGCGTGGTGTGTTGTCACACCACATCCTAAAATAAACTCCTCGATGCCTTGAAAATAGCAGATAACCAGCAGCAGAGGCTCCCTTGCTTGCGTGCCATTTTGTAGTACATTTCTTTTCAGCAGCAGTGACAGTGCTGCATTGCTATCATTGCTGTTGTCTCACCTGTAGGTGACTTAATGTTTTTCCAAGGATTGACTCATTGTAAGTTGACATCTGAACCTTTCAGTGGCACCCCCTCTTCACGAACAGCCAATGCTGAACAACTTAGCGTGCTCTGAAATGAAAGGGAAATAATTTTTTTAATAGGTCTGTGTGTTGTTTTTTATTTTTTATAATTACTGATGCAGCAAAGAGGCTTTTGGGGTTTTAATTATTAATGCCACTGATAGTAAAGAGCTGGAAGAACTTCCTGTCTGCTGAAAGGTTGAGTTAGCTGGAGGAGTAAAGTTCAGATTTTTCATCAGAAGCATGCTGTGATAACTGCAAAATGCTTTGCTCCTAAATAGGATGCTGTAAGGTGCAGACTTCATGTTCTCAAGGCTTTTGAGTGTGAATTTAAGGGTTCTGAATTGTCTCCCTGCCTCTTTTTGTTTGATTTCGGTGTTAAATGCCAGAAGTGAGTTCTGTTCCTCTTCTTTGTTTGATCTTAACAGTGATATTGCTTGTGGGTTTTTGCAAGAACCATGTATGTTTCTGTCTGTCGTATACACAGGAAGTTGTGGGACATTGACTAGAACAGCAACACCCTAAGCCTTGCTCTTACCTTTCATCAGAAGAATTACTGGCTTTTATGAAGTAGCTCTAAATTTAAGAAATTCTAGCAGTGTGAGAATATTTTATAAGTCCGCCCCTGGATATTTTTTCCTTTAATTTTATGTTTCTTTTAGAAATGATTCAGAGCTGTACACTTGCAATGTAATTTACACTTAAAACAGTCCATGGGCTGTGTTAGCATGTTTTCACGAATTTATAGAAACCACAGATTTAAAGTGTGGTGCTCAGGGCATTGAATGTCGTGGTCTCAGCTCAAAGCAGTGACTTCAGTGTAGTTTTCAGTCCCTGCCCTGCAGTTGCTGTCACCTGGCTGAAGCTCCTGTTTCTTCTTCTGTTCATATTATCGTACAGAACTCAGATCCCGCACTGCAGATCTAGGCTTGCTATATCTGGATTTAGGTAAATTAATTCCCCTGATTTTCCCTGCCTTTTGCCATCCCACTGTTGTGGTCTTGATAAGAGCAGTCTTTGTATTTGCAGAGAACACGTTGGCGCTACCATTGGTTTCTGTTTGTCTCCTGTTTTTGCTTTCCCCCTTACTTTTCTATCAGAGGAATAACTCGTCTGTTTTCTTCTGACAGACTGCAATGCAATTGTTCACAAAGGCTGTAAGGAGAGCTTTGCTTCCTGTGCAAAGGTGAAAATGAAGGTTAGTGGTATCACCTACTTTACTGCATTATAAGAAGGAACTGTAAATGATTCAGTCTGCAGATATACACCATCTCAGGGTGGTCTGCAGTGAGGAGCAAAGACAGCAGCAGACCTGGGGAGGAAGTGATGCATAAAGAAACTGTGAGGGTATCCAAAATCTGAAACTAGATATTCCCAGAGCAAACAGCATCCTTCCTGTGCACATGTAATATAATCAATGCATATGTTTAAAGAAAGCTTCTCACTGACAAAACTTGAGGTTTACCCAACTCCTGTAAATGCAGCATCTCTTCGTTTTTGAATACTGCATCCTTTTATGCAGCATCACATGCATATACATAATGCATGATGAAATGTATTAAATATGTATGCTGTTTATATGAGGGATATGCAGAATCTGGGCAAATGTGAGAAGCGTCTTCTGCAGCATGACTCTCCAAGCCAGTTATTGCTGGTACCATTACAAGCTAAGAACACCTCCTCTGTTGTTCCCTTCAGTAGCCAGCCCTTTTTCTTTCCATTTTACTGTTTATTTTACTGCTTATTTTGCCCATTTCATACATGGCAACAACAGTAGTTGCTGACCATTTTGTACTATGCATATTGGAGAACTGCTCTGTTCTGAGAGGATTCATTAAAGACGTGGCTTTTTAATTGTAGTTATGTGGCACAGCCCCTAGGGAGAAAGAAGGAAAAATTAAAGTGAATCTCCTTTTTCTTTCAGCCACAGAGAGGAATGCTGCAGGCACATGATACCTCTTCATTACCCACAGTGACCATGAGAAACAAAGGTAAAGTTTCCTTTTTCTCCCTTTTGGTGATGGTCTCTGTGTGCTGTTCCTGTTGTGACTGATTAAGCAGATAGAGCAGGGATGAGTGCATCTTCTCTGCGTGGTAAGCACTATTTGAGACTTAAGAAGTTGAGCTAAAGCTGTACAGATGGTTTAGTCCTATGCTTTGAGGTAGTAAAAGTAAGAAGTTAAATTCTGAATAGGAGCAACACTGACAAAGTTTGTACAGCTGCCCTGAGGTGTATGCTGTGCTGCTGAGCTACCCAGAGGGACAGGTGGCAAAGAACTGGAATGAAATAGCCCACATGAGTTTTGGAGCATCGTAATTAGATAAGCTCAGTTAGTGGTAGCTTGTTAGATCACTGTGCAGTATCATGCTGTATCATATAGTCCCACCCACTGTGGTTTTCGTCATGAAATTCAGAGGAATGGCTCCAGGAACCATGAATACATCTGAAGAAAATGTAGAGTTAAGATGAAAGGATTTGTCACAGATAGGTGATAGTATGAGAAAGGGTTTAGTGTTACTCTGTAATATATGTGGATGGAAGAACCTATCAAAAGATGTGACCAGAAGCAGGAGGATGGCTATAACCACAGGATCTCCTTGCCCAGAGAAATTAAAGCCAACACAGTAGATTGCTACATGTGATTGATTATTTATTGAATAACATTGTTTGGTTTCCCAAGTGTATGTTTTTGGACTTGGAGATTCCAGCCAAATCTGTTAGGTATAGTGCAGTCATTTCAGCAAAAGGGTCAATGTTCTTTCCTGCCTGAAATACAGCAGTGCTTACTTTGTTGAGAAGATCTCAGTCACTGCTTTTCTGCTCAGGAACACTGCTGGACTTAAAGCAGTCACAGTAAAGATCACAATTAACAAGCTGGTTGGCTTTCTTATTGCACAGTAGAAATAAATTAAACATGTTAGGTCTAAGGACAATGAAGTCTCACAGGTAGATCTGATCACTGATGCTGTATATGCATGATGGCTGAATTTTGTTTAAAAGCATTTGAGCATCCAGAACTCAAGTTTACTATCTGGGACAAATTCTAGATTGTCTTGGGCAGAGCATGGGAGCTTTGCTTTGACCAGGTCCTGCTTCAATAGCACAGGAGTGCCAAGGGAGAGGCGGAAGGCTCAGGCTTCCCTGTAGTTAGGGCTGTGTCTAACAGCTGCAGATCTTCCAGTGGCAACTCTAGAGTAAAAAGGAAGGGAATTTTAGAACCTGCTGTCTTTAAGACTCCATCATTGCAGCTAAGAACACAGTTGCAGGAGCTGACTTTTGTCTGGTGCTTCCCTTCCAGGCTCACAGCCCAAGGAGCGCCCTCGCTCCGCGATACTCGCTCCCGATGAGAACACCGTCACCTCCATCTTCAACAACAGGAGATCACAGCAGCCTACGGCGCTGTCGAAGAGTGTCTCAATACAGAACATTGCAGGGTAAGGGTTCTGCCTGGGGTGTGTGGGGATTATCTGCTGTGAGCATGGAGAAGTTCAGATTGCATTAAAAATAAGCTTGTGTTGTGTGATCTGTGTTAAAAATACAAAAGAGGATCGCAGCACCAGAAATGCCCATATTATATATGATACTACCAGCTGTCTTCTGCCCAGTCAGACTGTCTGGGTTAGGTTTAGTCGTGGCGTGAGTTGAAAAGTGTCTGAGCTGGCCTGCTGATATTAAGGACCACTTCACACAGATGCTCAGGGATCCAGGAAGCCAAGTGGCCTTGGGGTTGGAACTGTGCGATCACGTATTTTGTGCAGCTCAGGCATAGTATTTATTTTTGTGTCCATAATGGTAGGGTGGATGCACAGAGCTGCAGTCTTCACAAAGTTTTAGGAATGTGCTATGCATAATTAACTAGGGAAAGACACAGAAGAAAATAAAATATATGGTTCCTATCCTAGCTGCACACTGAGTAATTCTACAAACAGAGCGATAGCATAGATTGGGACATTGTGAACAATTGGCATGCCCTGGTTATTCATGGTGAAACTTATTTCAGTCCATTTTTTGGATCTTGCTCAGAGCAAATGGTGCAGACTCCTAGGTAGCCTTTTGTACTGCATTTTTTCATGGTTTGCTCCAATAACAATGAGGATGGGAAGTGACAGTGTAAAATGGGAAGCAATGAAAAACAGTTACCCAAGCCATAAAACCTGAGGTGTGATTTTGTAGAGAAGAAGCGCTGTCATTTAGAGCTGCAGGTCTGGTTGTAAACAATATCCTGTCTTCTGTTCTTTTTCAGGGTTGGGAATGATGACAGCTTAATACACACTTGGAAATTTCTGTCACAGTCCACAGACTCTTTACATAAAATTAGCCGGGTGAATGAATCCACTGAATCATTAGTTGATGAAGGTAAGACATCCCATGGCACTTACAGCAGGAGGAAGGTCTGTGCTGCTTTCCGAAAATAGAAAATCCAGTTTGACATTTCAACTTGAGTTTTTCTTTTTAATGGACAATTAAAGTGCATTTAATGTAAAGTTACTATGATAACTTTAAAAAAAAAAGGTACCACACAGTAATTTCTTATTGAATTGTGGGAAAACATTTAGAAGCTTTCAGTTACAGTTGAGTTACTTGGAATTGAGCTTGAAGGCAAACATTTCCACTTTTGTTTTGTTCCTCTGGCCTTTTCATACAGCCACAGACAGAACATGCCTTTTTATACTGGAATGAGGCTTTTTGTTGTGGGGACAGAGAAGATTTGCCATTTGCAATGCCATGTTGCATTGATGGATGTAATGCCTGTAGCGTTCGGCAGCAGTACCTGCAGCAGTTCACATGTGTGTTGCTTTGTGAAGGTGCAGACATGAATGAAGGGCAGCTGATGGGAGACCTGGAACTAGATTCCAAGCAGCTGGAGGCAGAGTCCTGGAGCCAAGCAGTGGACAGCCTGTTCCTACAGCAGCAAAACAAGGATGTTGTCAAACGGCAAGACGTAATTTATGGTGAGACATGCATGGATGTTCATTGTTCACTTGTTTTTAGGTGGTTTCTTGATATATCCACGTGCATGTATGTAAGAAACCTTATGTCAGTGAATAGGAACAGTAACTGGATTCCTCAGTAGCCAAAGTGTCATTCTTGAAATTCTTAGAAACAGTGTGTACTTTGAAAGCTTTGTCTTTCTGCCTTTCACTTACCTGGAAGCCATAAAAAATAAATAGAGAACACCTCTTCCTTTTTGTCTGCTGATGATGTTTAAATTCAGTTACAACACAGCAGCTAGGTAGCAAGTCCTCTGCTCCCTGATACAAAATCCATCCTGCATGACAGAAATTAACAATGATGAGTTTGACAGTGAAATGCAGAAGAAGGTAACAGTACTCAAGGTTCACACCTGCTTGTGGCTCTTTATTTTGACTCCTCTGCCCCAAATTTCTGCCACAAGCAAAGTCATTAATTGATATTTTAAACACCTGATGTGGGATTTTCTGAAACCACTTAGAGAAGCCCAATTAGCTTGTTTGGAAGAGCTTCCTAATGACAGTTTTTCATCGTACTGTGCACCCAAGTTCTCTACCATGACCTTGTCTTAATCCTATGCAGAGCTCATGCAGACAGAAATGCATCATGTCCGCACCCTGAAGATAATGAACGACGTATACAGTGCAGGGATGTTACAAGAGCTGCAGTACGATCAGCAAGTTGTGGACAAGATCTTTCCCTGCCTGGAGAACTTGCTGCACATACATAGTCAGTTCTTCCAGCGGATTCTGGAAAGGAAGAAGGAGTCATTGGCAGACAAAAGTGAAAAGAACTTTGTTATCAAGAGGATCGGTGACATCCTGGTGAATCAGGTAAGCTGTGGATAATAATTGCACTTCTGAAAGCGTAGCTGGAAGCCAAGTGCTCCTGAGTTCTCGCTCCTCTCTGCCTCCTGTTTATACGTGTTAGGCAGCTGTACCTGATGGCACCTGTAGACGCAGACAAAAATCTCTACCTCTGTTTTTTAAGCACTTTTTGCTCTTTCGGAGGAAGGTGTAATGATGAAAATTCATTTTGTTTATATTGTGGGAGAGAGAAGCATTTGCTAACAGAGGCACCACATGATTTGACCCATAGCCAGCAGGGAAGGCAGTAGCCGGCAATGAAATGTATGCAGCGTGTTTCTTGGCTGATGTACAGAGAAGATATTTAACTTAGGGTGGGTTCTTGTACTTTTCTTTATCTGTGTTTTCTCCCATTCTCCTTTTTTCTAACTTGCTCTCTTTTGGCTTGTAAACTCTGTTGAGGTGCAGTCCCAGATTTTGTGCTAAGTGTGAATGCAGTGAAGCCACAGACTCTGCTCGTTGCTTTCTAGAGACCTAATTTCTTAGCTTAGAGAGCTTTGTACTAATTTGTTTTCATAAAACTCTTCTGAAAGACTGACAGGAGCTGTTGGGATGTTACACCAGGAGCTCAGTGGAGGTTGGATCTTTAATCTCTTGTCTTGCAGTTCTCCGGAGAGAACGCTGAGAGAATGAAGAAGACATACGGCAAATTCTGCGGGCACCACAATGAGGCAGTAAATTACTTTAAAGATCTGCACTCAAAGGACAAACGTTTCCAGGCTTTTGTCAAGGTAGGACCAGGTGGAAGAGAAACAGTCAATGGGGAAAAAAAATATTTCCTTCCTGTGCTCCGTTGAGTGTTTTGTTACAAATTGAAATTTTCATCTTTGTTTCTTAGAAAAAAATGAGCTCCTCCCTGGTGAGACGTCTTGGGATTTCTGAATGTATCTTGTTGGTAACACAGAGAATCACAAAGTACCCAGTTCTTTTACAGAGGATACTGCAGTACACGGCAGGTAGGGGCCAGTTCTTTCCTAAGCATGGATTTGCTCATCCAGTGTGCGTTTCCAGGACCCTTTTTTTCATTGATTTTCTTAGAATTGCAGTCTAATCCAATCACTGTGTCACCCTGATATAATGGGGTAACCAGATTTCATCTCTCTGTTTAGTGTTAGTTGACCAGGTGCCTTGCTTTCACTGACATAGTCTACCTCTAGCTAATTACACAGCCAGCACGCTCAGATTCCAGAGTCTTCCAGCTTAGTTTTTTTATAACAGCTGAAATATGTGGTTAGTTTGCTCGTTTCATATCTACTGTCTTAAAGTATATTGGAACAGCTCCCAGCCTCAGCTGTATATGTGAAAGGTTTTGTGAAGCTCTCCTTAGGAGGGAAAGATGCAACCTGTTGTGAAAATATTAAACAGTTATAATGCAGGAATCTGAGAGGGAGAAGGGGAAGGAAGTAAAGGGAAAACAGGGATGTCCACAAGGATAAAGTGAGATGGAAATATTTCTCTTTCTGTTCAAAGAAAATGAAGTGGAACATGAAGACTTGACTCAGTCATTAAACCTTGTTAAAGATGTGATTGCTGCAGTCAATAGCAAAGTCAGTAACTATGAAAAGAAAATGCGCCTTGATGAGATTTACAACCGGACAGACAGCAAATCCATCATGAGGATGAAAAGTGGTCAGATGTTTGCAAGAGAGGACTTGAGACACCGGAAGCTCATCCGAGACGGGCCTGTGTCACTGAAAAATGCAGCCGGACGGCTGAAAGGTAATGCTTCCCTCTCCAGGCACAGGATTGCTCCTCAGATTGGTATCTCCACTACTTCTTCTTCTGCTCTGAGAGCCTTTGACAGCAATTTCAAATCGGGTATGATTGATTTTGACGTTTTGGAAACAGGAAGTTTATGTTTGTTTTCCAAGCTCCCAAATTTATTAATGACTTCATAAGGTGGATCAAGCAAGTTATGCTGCTGTTGTGAAATACTGTGATAAGCACAGGCTGCATTTGTATTTGTAAGTCACAGAAATACCTACTTCTATAGGGCAAGTTCCCAGCAAAAGCAGGTCCTATAGATCCCAGTAGGTGAGCAGCTGGTTCTGATCCTTTGGCTATTTTGTGGTACTTAGATGGGAGAAAAATCTCCCATTTCTCTCTTCCCAGAGAGAAATCTGGGAAGAACTTTTTCTTGCTTTTTTTCAGCATTTCCCCTCTTGCAGAGTGCACAGAACATATGGTGATAGGGAAGAATAGAGTCTGATGCTGATTCCTGCAGACTTCCTAGGGCTTTGAGTTCATTTTGCAGCTTTGATTAAAATTTGGTGGTTCTTTTATCCAAAACAGATCCTGTCTGCCTAAAGCAGAATGGAAGGAATTACCGTGGGATGATTTCACTTTTTGGTTTGCTTCCTGTCTGTCACAAGATTTCCCAAGTACATAGTACAAAAACTCTTTGTACTGAGGGATATGGGTGGGGTATTATACTTGGTACTTACTGTGCAGCTTTATGCTATGTCATTAGGAGACTTGGAAGGCTGTACATGTACTTTGGGAAATGTCTGTATTCTGATTTAAAATCCTCTCAATTGCTTGATGCTGTGCTTCCTTCTCCCAAGAAATAAAGGTCCTGCATCTCAAGCTGGGCTCTGTTAGCTCCCCTCAGAGTTAGCCGGGGTTTTATTTGTCTGTGAGCAGTGCTAGTGGTGGCTCCTGAAGTCACTGTTTCCTGGAAAGAAACTGCAGCTGACAAATGTTGCTGTTGCACAGTAATTTGCACTCCCCAAACTACTCTTTGAAAAAGACATAAAACCCCCAACTTCCTGTGCCGATACTTTGCTCGTGGGCTGAAATATTGATTGCTTGAGAGAACAATTCTGTTCTGTGTCTCCAGTTCTTGCTGCTATGCCATGTCCTACCTGTGGGCAATTTGTGGCTGGAAAGCAGCCCTCCCACCCAGGGGTGTTCCCAGGGCAGCTCTGCACTACATGGCCCTTCCAGCATCTAACCAGGAGTTGATCCCAGACCAGCCCTTGTGCTTCACCGGTGTTATTAAAAGATAAAACTGCTTAGGAGTGTGCTGTGTGGTTATTCAGCACCTATTTGTATATTTTTCCTTTTGCAGAAGTCCAGGCTATTCTCCTCTCTGACATGCTCGTATTCCTTCAGGAGAAGGACCAGAAATATGTCTTTGCCTCACTGGTAAGGTTTCAATCTTTTCTTCTCCTTTGCTTTTCTGTGTGAGGGTCCCTTGGCGTGTGTTATGCAGTAAAGCCAGCAGCTGCCTGCTAAACAACTTCATTTTCCTGCTTAGAACATTTCTGTTTGTTGGGCAAGCTCTGTTTTTTCAATTGGAAAACATGTCATTGTTCCACACCTCCCCCTGGTGATTTCTGCAGTGCCTTGGCACTGCTGATAATTGGCCTTTAAAATCCTCCCGCCACTCCACACACGTTCTCCTTTTCATTTCATGCAAGCTGAAGCCATGAGCTGGGGGGAAGGGGAGTAATGGGATAAGGCAAACGTTGTAAAAACAAACCTTAGCAGAAGATGGTGTTCTCATATATTATGAAATGCTATGATTGGGTAGGGAACACCACTGCAGTAAATTCAGCAGAGCAGCGTACAGATAAATGTCAGAAGAATGCAGTTGTTATGCACCAAACCAAAACTGTCACTCTTGAATGCAGTCTCCTAAAGGTTGAGACACACTGATCTTTACAGAAAGAGGTAGTCTGGGAGCTAACTAGGTCTGTTAAGACTGTACCTTGCAGACACAGTTTAGAGTGGCTAAGCCTCGTGTCCTTTTGGCCCTTGAAATATTTTGGAAGTTGATAATCTGTTATTCCAGTTCCACTGGGGCTCTACACAGAGGGAGCTGATTTGCACAGAAGTGCTGCTAGTGATTCCTGCCAAGTCACCCAAGTGTAGCATCCTGGAAAGTGCACAAAGGCATCCACACAGCATATTTTAACCCAGGCAGGCTGTTTACACAGAGACTATAGCACACAGTGAGCACCCTCTTATCTACAAGTCTTGTCCATCGCAGGAGTCCACTGTGAGCTTCTGAGAACAGGCAGGTTTTTGTGAGATGTGAAAATAAGGTGTTATTCTATCCTAGGGTGAGACTGTGAAGGTAATATGTGTGAAGCAGCTGCTAGCAAGCTTCACTGCATTTAAGGGGCTGTAATATTAATGACAGATTCAAGAGTGTGGGCAGGAGGAGATGAGATCAAAGGTCTTCTGGGGATAGAGCAAAAATATGGTAGTTTTCAAAACCCCAAACTCTGTTTTAAATTACTTCCTTGTTGAAATGGACCGAAGTGAAATTGGTCTTCCTACAGGAATAATGGAAGAAAGCAAACCCTTCTCTGTTTTGTGACCCCAGCAAAATGCTTATTTTAATTAGCCAACAGCTTCAAAAAATATTTATTTTTTAAATACTGCCTGAGTGTGTTGGTTGCACTGGTAGTGGGCCGTTTAGAATGTTAGTTCATTGTGAGGTAATTTGGCCCCTCCTCGGCCGTTTCTTTCCAACTGAAGGACCAGAAATCCACAGTGATCTCTCTGAAGAAGCTCATCGTACGGGAAGTGGCTCATGAAGAGAAGGGTTTGTTCCTGATCAGCATGGGTGTGAAAGATCCCGAAATGGTGGAAGTGCATGCCAGCTCCAAAGAAGAGCGGAACGGCTGGATGCAGATCATTCAAGACACAATAAGTACCATGTAAGCTACCAAGCTGCTCTGGAAGGGTGAGTGATGCACATGATCACGTTCTGATGGTTACTGAGATGTGTCTCTTTCATGCAGGGATAAGGATGAGGATGAAGGAGTCCCTTGTGAGTCTGAATTTGAAAAGAAATTGTCAGACACAAGAATCAGAGCGCTGAAAGGTAAGGAACTGCCAAGGACAGAGCTTGAAAAAAGTTTTCAGGAGTTTACAGCAATTGTTGCAGTGGGTTTTGTTGGCCCTTTTCCGTGTGCACAGTTGAAGTTTTTCAGGGGAATGAGGGTCCTGCATCCAGCAAATGGTTGCAGTCCTTGTTTGCACCTCACCTTGTTTACAGCTCAGTGCTTTGTGCCTGCTGCATGCAGTTGCTGTGCAAGATTGCAAGGGGCAGAGCTGTGTCACCGCGTTCCACTAGATGGGGCCAGTATCTCAGGAATAGCTCTCCTTCCTTCCCAAAGCTTTTGTTTTCAATCTTCATTCCTGTTTTCTGCTCACCCCCACAGAACAACTTCAGCAGAAGGATAGACAGATCCTCCTCTTGCTGGAGGAAAAGGCCAAAATATTCAGTGACCTGGCAGACTCCTCTATGCAAGAGGACATGCCGGGCTCCAGACTGCTCTTCAGAGCCAACACTGAAGAAGCGCCAAAAGGAGAAGCCATTATGAAAACTGCAATAAATGAAGGTGAGCAAGTCAGCGTGGCACTAAACAGCGCTCTCACCTTCAGTGAATCCCTTGGTTCTCAAGCACGGCGTTTACAGGGGCAGCCTATTTGTTCCCAGTGAATGAATAACAGCATAGATAAACAGATACTGCTACTCATGGTGTGTCAGGGACAGATACTGAGGATCAGGACAGGAAGCAGATATTGATGGCTGTTGAAAGAAGGCACAAAAGAAGTCTCAGCACAGAGAACAACCCTGTGTTGAATCTGAGGTCAGGGACAGCCCAAGATTTCATCCTTGTCTGAAATACAGACCGTGCTGTCTTTCACTGTGTCTTGGACTCAGCAAGGTTTGTGGGGACTCCAATTCCTGCAGGTATTCAGGGTGTCTGCAAGGAGCAAGTGATCTGCTGGCAAATGCGAGGTTGAATGAAAACTCACACAACTTTTCAGTCTGTTTTTTGGAAAGAGTGAAAATTATTAAATGCTGTTGTGAGTTTTTGCAAGGGAGACGCATATTGTTGTGTCACTGTAGAAACATTTCTTTTATTAGTATAGAAAAACACATGAAAATAGAGGTGGAAATAGCTCAGAAGCCTGAGGTGGTCTGTAACAGACAGATTGCTGATTTTATCTTCCCAGTGGAACTGCTGCAAGAGCTGGTGAACAGGAACCTGGGCAGCACCCTTATGCAGCAACTCAGCAGTGCTGCCATTGATGAAGAGGGAGGAGTTGGCCCCATCTCTCTTCCTAAAAGGGCAGAAACTTTTGGAGGATTCGACAGTCACCAGATGAATGCCTCCAAGGGTAAGTAGTGACGTGCTCCCATAGCAGCATTTGTTAATGATATTTCATGTCATCCTGTCCTGTTCCTTCTAAAGGACTTGAGCAGATGGTCTGTTTAGATTACTCTACTCTTCTGCAATGCTAGTAGGTAGATTAAATATCAGATTAGGAAAAAAGGTACAGGTGAAATAGTAGCTGAGAACTTGTGGCTATGTGAGGATTGAACTCTTCGCTCCCGTCTCACTATTTTCTCTCTAAATCATCTTTCCTGCTTTACTTACGTGCTACACACAAACATTTGGCTTCATTAAAAGTACCTTCTTCATGTTCTGCCCGCAGTTCTGTTCTTCATCCTTCAGTTGCCTTCCAGCAGGAGACCAGTGCTGTTGCCTTTGCAAATGGTGATGGCACTGCTGTGCCAAGCACCTTCCTCTGTCTGTGCTCCCTGTGCATTTGATTTCCACACACAACTGCGTGTGTTATTCCTGCAATTTAATCTCTCTCAAGCAAATGACTGAATATTCATTTCGGCTGCGGAGTTGGCATCTTCCCAATGCTCTCTTTCTTTCCCCTAGTCATCAGAAACTTCCCTGTCCTCAAATTCCTTTCTCTGTGGTCTCTCTCATGCTCCCAGTACAGCCAGTTTTGCTGCGCTAGTGTCTGTCTCAGCGTTGGGATGTTGGACCCCGTCTGACCTTCTGCATTAAAGGAGCAGTGTTAGCTGCAGACAGTCAGACATGAGAACTATGTAGAGATTTTCCCGGCTATTGGAAAGCTGCAAAGCTCTCAACAGGCCTTGTCATCATCGTGACAAATATATTCATGCTGAGGGCTGGAGGGGGTTGGTTGTTCGGGGCTGGGCCTCTTTCTGTTGTAGTGATGAATGAATGGCACAACCTCAGGCTGTTCATTGCCCAGCACTCTCCCCCCTCCTTGCTTTCTGTTGCTTGTTTTTTGTTTGATGTGTGATTTTTTAAAATATTTTTTTCCCCTAGAAACACCATCTTTTGAATTAGATTGTAGTTCAATAGTTAGAGGATCTTGGGAGATGTTAGGAAAATAAAGCATGGCCTGTTTATTCAGCTGTGGAAGGTCCCACGATGAGTTGCAGCAAAAAAAAAAGGTCTGTTAGGAGGGTGAGGGTCAGTCTGCCTCAGAAGGGTAGTGAGAAAATGGGTCTGTGATGGCTGCAGCCCTCCTGGCCCCATGAGTCAGTTCAGTGCTTGGGAGCAGTGATAGGAGCCATGCAGGGAGAAGCTAGACAGAGATGTCCAGTATCCCTTTGAAGATAGAGGTTTCTGATGACTAAGACTACTGAGGAATTGTTAACATAAAATCACACAGCAGTATTGCACAGCAGTCTAACCCAGCTGTAAATTACATTTGGACAGAGAGGCACTGAAACTGTGCCTGCAATAATACGCTCTGAGATGATATTGCTATTTTTCTCCATCTGCTTTTGTTCTGCCTCATGACTTGTTAGCAAATGTAAATGTGGGTGGGTTTTTTTGGTGTTTTTTTTTTTGCAGAAAGCACTTTGGGGGCTAGACAGAGCACAAGGGAAAGGTGTATGTTGCATTTATCAGAACATTGTTTGAAACCAAAGTCAGCCTTTGTCTGAATTCACACGATGAGTGCATGAAGGAAGCAAACACATCTGGTTGAAGTGCAGAGAGCTCTGTGGCCCTTCTTGTGATACATCCCAGCTGTCTGTATGAAATCTCAGATACTGGCAAGTTCATCTGTGGCTTAAAACGTTGAATAACCAGTGTCAATGCTGGCTTCTTGCTTTAGGTGGAGCGAAGGATGAAGGCGACGATGCTCAGGACCTACGGAGAACAGAGTCAGATGGTGTTTTAAAGAAGGTATCGCACAGTTTATTTATGGGGCTGCTCTGAGTTCAAGAAGATGACAATTCAAGTCTTGAAAAAGGCCTGAATTTGTTGGCAAGGAGCTGTATCCTAATAATATAAAATCAAATTGGAAGTATGGAGTCCAAAACACCGCTGCAGTTAAAATCCTGACTTGAGAAGCATTTAAAATCAATGGTATTCCTTTATGGCAGAGGCTGTGCCATCTGTCTGCAGAACAGCTGGAGTGTGTGTTTAATTTTGCATCATTATTGAAATGACAGGGTCACACGGAGCCTTGCACCTATTCTTCCTGGGGATCGATTCATCACATAACTCCAAATGATACCTAATTAATGTGTGATTTGATGCCATTCTAACTCACCTGAAAACATACATGAATCGTCCCAGAATCGAACGTGGAGGGGAGGGGGGTTAATGCATCTGTCGTTAGTTCAGCTTCACAACACGTTTGTTACGATTTCTCATTTGTCCTCATATTAAGTGTGATCTTTTCACAGGCTGGAAATGCTAACCTGATGTTCATACTGAAAAGGAACAGCGAGGTAAGAATCGATTCTGTTGTTGTTTTCTTCGTTTAAGTGATAAGTGAATTTGTCTCAATAGGTGATAATGTAAAAGAAAAGACATTACTTTAGCTGGAGCACACATGGACTTTTAAATACATTCAGCTGAACCCACTGTGTCGTTTATTTGTTTAACCTTGGATGTTCAGACAGGGAATTTGCTAATTGTCATCTGCTTGCCAGCGGGATGATATGTGCTGATTATAGGCATCAGGGGTTAATTACCACTAGGATGTGCAGGACTGTATTTATTGTGCATCTGCAGACAGAGGGAGTTTAATTTTATGTTGCAGGTGCAGTGATTTGGGGCAATTAGATTTCTATTCTCCCTTTGATACACATTCATAACTCCAATTAGCATTAAAGTCAGAATGAGAAGCTGTTCTCTTAACACTGGCTATAGCACCAATATTGCAAACACCACTGTGTTTTCCTCTTATTCTGTGCTTTTTTTCTTCTTCAATAGGTGGATAACTGAGATTCAGAGAATTTTTTAGCTGGGCTAAACATATGTTTTGGGCTAGAGCATTACTCCAGAGTGTCTTGCTCTTGGCTACGTGGCAGTGCACCAAGTGTTTGCATGTACCTGTTTTCTGGGAACCTTCCTTAGTGTACTTGCTGTATTTCTGTGTCTGCTGCGCTACAGTTTTCCTGTAAAACGACAAGAGGATTTGTGTGGGTCTGCCAGGGTGAAAGAGGGCTGTGTACCAGGGAATGATAGAACTGTTGCAGGTGATGAGTGAGAAAAACAGAAGGTACAGAGGGGCAGCCATGCGGGTTGGACTCACCAGTGGGTCACAGTGGAAAAGGAAGCTGCTTTATTAGTTCCCTAGCACCATGTGATGTCTAATAACAGTGCTTTTGTTTTCTTGCAGCAGGTCCTTCAAAGTGTTACCAGCCTCTGTAAGCTGCTCAATGCTCTGCAGGTATGTTGCCCTCTCATTCTGGTTCCATACGCTGCTTGCCCAAACCATGGAATGAGCTCACCCAGGAGCCTTCTCCTCTCTAGGCTGAACAAGACCAGCTCCTTCAGTCAGCTCCAACCCTCTGAGCATCTTCATGGCTTCTTCTAAACCCGCTCTGGCAGCTCCACACCTTTCTTGTGTTGTGTGCCCTAGGCCTGGACACAGTCCAGAAGCCCTTCCTCTTCCCCACTCCTGCATGGCCCAATACCCTGCAGCAGATTTGTGTTCAGCCTCCCGGCACAGCAACAGTAATCAGCTGCTGCCTGGCACGCTGCTTCCATTTGGGAAGCTGCAGGTGGATGTTTAGACCTCGACCGGCAGAGCTGCCACTACGGCATCCTCAGCTGAATGCTAAACATGGTAGAAAAAGTTGCAGTTTGGTGGTGCCCTGATTGCTCAGATGTGGAGCTGCTCCTCCTGGAGTGGGCCCTGCAGTGATGTCTCCCTCCTTCCCTCCCAGGGCGTTGTCCTACAGCAGGACACCTACATCGAGGGCCAGAAGCTGGCCTTGAGTGAGAGGGCCCTGTCCCGAGGCTTCTTCCGCCCAGCCTCGCTGCTGGAGCAGGAGAAGCAGCGCAACCTGGAGAAGCAGCGCCAGGAACTTGCCAACCTGAAGAAGCAACAGGCTCAGCACCAGGAGGAGAAGAAGAGGGCAGAGAAGGAGTGTGAAGCACGGGAGAAGAAGCTGGCGGAGCTGGAAATCCAACTGACCAAGAGGGAGGAGGAGATCCAGAAAGGGTGGCAGGAGCTGGAGTGCAGGCGGGATGAGCTGCGGCAGTTGAAAGCCTCCTACCAGCTTGAAATGGAGAAACTTCTCAGTAAGCAGAAGCAGCTGGATAAGGAGTGGGAGCAACTCAAGAAGGACATGGAGCGACAACCTCAAATGTGGTTGGAGCATGATGACAACCAGGTAAATGCTGGCAGCAGGCAGGCTCTCACAATGAGCTGTGCTCTGCTGGGAGCTCCCAGTCGGCTGCCTGCCCTGAGGCACCAACTGCCTGGCTTTAGCCCAGCCCGGGGTATGCAGGGCCTGAGCTTAAAGCTGGCTCTTTCCTTACACCTCAGAAGCCATTGAAGCATTGCTGCTGAGCTCTTCCTGCTTCCTTGTGCCTCTGTTTGGCAGAGGCATGTGGGGAGGATGTACTGGAATGTCTGAAGTGTTGCCTTCCACATTCACTCCACATGGGTTTGGCTTTGTGGCGCATTGAGGCAGCTGAGGATTTGATCTCAGGAACAGCCCAAATATTACTGCTTACTTTGACATAGAGTGGCCCTGTGAATGTCTTTCTGTTTGCAGACTGTGGGCTTAAGTCTGCCTCCACAAGCATTATCTAGCAGAGACAAGTGTTGTCCCTGTCCTAAAGAGGCCAGACATCTGCAGTCCAGACGTGGTCCAAAGGGCACTTGCACTGGTGTGAGAAGCTTCTGGTGTAGGACTGTCCACAGCTAAAAAGCACAGATCTTATTCTGTGCTGTGCATTTTGTAGCATGCTGGGGAGAGCATGCATCAGTTTGCAAAACATGGGCTGAGTTTGAACCTTAAGCCAGATGTTGAACGTTTGTTTGTTTATAACTCCCTGATTTTGAATGCAATTTGCTTAGAGCTGTAACAAAATTAGCTTGTAAATGCTGGATTGCGGAACTGAAATTATTTTGGGTGCCTGAATGGACTAATTGCAGAGCTCAGCAGTAAACTCTGTAAAGCAAATCACCCAGGGAGTGCTTGCTCCTTCCCAGCCCAGCCCTGGTCAGGCCAGGAGCACACAGCACAGCTTCCTCAGCATCCATGGGGCATGCGTGCTATGGGAGAGGCTGAGAGGTAAAGTAACTGAGGGCTCAGGATCAAGGGAAGGAAGCTCCTTCTCATGCAGGCATCTCACTGACAGTTCAGAGCTATTAATAGAGGGCTCAGCGAGGCTTTGTTGAGCTGTTGTTTTGATCTTCCCTTTGAATGCGAGGGCTCAATTATACCCTGAGACAGACGTTAAGAAAAATCAGGGAAATGTTTTGCTTTCATCTTTCTCTTGGGAAGGCTTCCTTTGCCACATGCCTGGCCGGTGCTGCATGCTGCCCGGAGAGGCACGCTCCTCTTGGCCTGCTGCCACTGTCTGTGTTCACTAACAGCTCTGGGTGAGTCGTGGTATCGAGATCTTAGAGAATGTTTGCCCTTGGTTTGTTGATTTTACATGTGGGAGTAAAAGATACTGGAGCGGTACTCTGTATGCGTCGCCTGTCTTACACAGAAAGGGCTTTGCCTGCATGGCTGTGCTTTGTAGCTGCTGAATGAGTGGTGGTCTCTGTGAGTGGTCTTGGAAACATCTTTTCTCTCTCCACATTCTCCACTACCCTCTTCTGTGCACCAGTGAAACTTGTTTCTTTTCTTTTATAGGTGTCAAATCGACATGAGAAACTTGCCAGGGTTTGCTCCCAGTCCAGCCTCGAAGGCACCTCTGTGCAGAAGAGCCCCTCATTTCCTAAGCAAGGGCACTCTGATGCAGAACTGTCTGTCTCCCCCAAAAGGAACAATCTTTCAAGGACACACAAAGAGAAAAGCACTTCCCATTTGCTTAGCACAACAAACCTGACTAACAAGGCAGCTGAGGAGCAGCCCCAGATGCCTACTCGCCTCTTCAGTTTATCCAAACCAAAGGAAAAGAAGGAAAAGAAGAAGAAGGGCAGGGGACATCGCTCCCAGGAATCTGGTGAGTGTCAGGAGGTCGCAGATGTGTTTTTAGGGTCAATAAGCTGGAATTCCCTTTCAGCCAGTGAACCTGTGGAAACTATTTGGCCTTGAACGGAGAAGGTAACAGAGAAGGACAGAGAAGATCAGGTCTGATGAGTGAAATTCCCAGCTTCAACTGACCTCCTCTACAGCCGCTGGGGTTGTCAGAGGGACATGTTGCCTCTCTTCTCCTTCCCTTCCATGTCCTATTCTGAGCAGCTTCCACAAGCTGGCTTCTCTCTGTGTTTTTCAGCTTGCTCTGCCTCAGAAGGGATGCTTTCATGCTTTCAGAGCCTGCGTGGAATCTTCCGGTCTGCCTCGAGACCCTCCAGCAGCACTGCTGACATTTATAGTTCTGTTCTAGTTTGTAAGCAATGCCTCCAACCCTTCCCATGCACTCTCCCTTCCCCCAAGCTGGTCTGCCTTGTCTATTGATCTAAAAACTAAATGTGGCTTTTTTTTTTTTACTCCCCCCCCCCCCCCCCCCCCCCCCAGTGTTTCATCCCCATAGCACTCTGTTGTGCACTTCAGACTCTTGCCCATACACAAGTTGATCTCAGGCTTTCAGGTGACCAGCTGATACATCTTGATTCATTCATGTTTTCCAGCTCATGTCCAGGAAATTCAGCAGTTTTCCCAATGGCTGTAATTTCCTGTAGCTCACTGGGAACTCAACATCTTTCAAGGTCCCCAGAGGATTGGGCGGAGAAACAGGGTTTCCACGTATCTGAAGGGAGTCCCGCTCTGCTTGCTATATTGCTGTATCCCCGTAGTGATTCGCACTTGTTTCTTTTCTCCTCAGATTCTCATTCATCAGAAGCACCTCCAGAGGGTGAGGAGATCTTCTGCTGAGTGGGGACGGCTCCGTCGGTCACTCTCAGCTTTCATACAGCGGATATCTCCCTGCCCGACCCACAGCACAGTGCTGGTGCCTGCACCTGCACCTGACAAGCATCTGGAGGTTTTCATTAAAACGTTCTGCAAGTTTATAAAGTGGTGGGAAAGAGCTTCTTTCCTTGGGTTTGCGTGAGTTGTCACCGCAGAGGCTTCCCACACAGCAAGTGGTACCATCTCCCTGTGCAAACCTGGATTCAGGTCGGTTGGGACGGATGTTTGCAGTCTGTGGTGCTGCTAAGGGATGAGAGAACATAGCCTTAAGGGGTCTGTGCCTTCATGTTCCCCTTTTCTGGGGAAGGTAACCAAAACCAAGCATTCAGAAAAAGATTAGGACTCTACAAATGGTGCGTACACACTGGCATATATAGATATACTGTACATACCCATCTCTGTATCTATGTATCCTCTGGGATATGCTTAGGTCTGTACAGCCAAGCTTAGCTCGGCCCGTGGGGATAGGTGATGCCTTTCAGGGAGCATTTGGACATCAAATATCTTGTCCTACTGCCCCAGCTGTAACGCCACTGACCCGCACGCCCCTTGGTGCTCATGGTGTGGGTGCTGGCTTTCAGCAAGGCACTGCACGCTGGGGAAGAGTAATGGTGTTCAAAAGAAAAAAAATCAGGAAACAAATAAAATTGAAGCTCTCCAAAGAGATTTATGGGGGGTGGAGGAGTTACGTGTCAAACTGTTTCCAGAATCAAGCAGAACTTGGAGTATATTTAAAGTGATGCAGAAAATTGAAACTGGGAGGTTTGGAAGGCAACCCTAGGAAGCCAGGACAGAAGGTCATCAAGTAGGAAGAACGCTAAGCAGCTTTTTTTTTAAGAACTCTCTTGGAGCTACAGCTCACTCCTTCCCATAAAGATTTGTATTGCCAGGATCTATTTCTCCAGTTGTTTGACATCCCTTCAGGCAAGCCTGATGGCTTATGGGAAAGGTGGCTGGAAATCTGCTTTGAGGGACCTTGGTTCTGTTATTTGTGCTTTCTTTCCTCCACTCTTTATGTTACCGCTAGGCTTCTCTTCCTCCGGACTTTGTCAGCTTCTCCAGCTTGTTTCTAAGGCAGAACACCAGCAGTTTCAGAGCACATCGGTGAGATAGGTCAGAGCAGAGAGAACTCTGAGGAGGCAGCTCTTCAGACCCATGCCTCTGCAGCATTGTGCTCTTGTTTCTGGACAGAAAAATGTATTCACGTGGACAAAACCACTGTGCAGCAGATCCAAAAGCTGGCATGCCAGGTGCACGTCCTTTGCTGTGTGAGCACATCTGTGTCACCCTCAGCAGAAGGGGAAGGTTTGAGGACAGCTCTCGATGCAGTATCATAGTCATTTCAGCTGGAAAAGACCTCTAGCATCATCAAGCTCAATTGTTCACCTAGCACTGCCAAGTCTGCCTCTAAAGAAGCACGTGCCGACAGTGAGGTGTTTTATACAGCTGTGGAGTACAGCAGGGAAGAGCAATGCAGCAAGCCACTTCTGTTCCTTGCACGATTGTTCCAAACCCTCTGAGATCAATTGGCCGAGTGGATCTGTGAACAGTGATAGGACGTTATCAGCTCCAAAATAACTCAAGGGTTTGCTCCGAGTTGGAAGCTGCTGAGTGCATTTCCTTTCCTGCCAGTTTTGCTTTAATGAAAAAAAAACAAAACCACACAACACCACAGTTCTTTAGTTGCACTGTTGTTTGATTTAGCTTCTCCCAAGCTAGGAACACACAGCAGTTTTCAGAGTTGGGTGCTGATGCAGATCGGCAGCGCTGCAGGTGAGGGGGATGCTCTGAAGGTCTGTGCAGGAGCCCTAAGAGCCACCTGCTTGCTATTGAAGCTCTCTGAACTGCTGAGATAGAATTAAAAAAAAAAAAAAAAAAAAAAAGGAAGAAAGGAAAAGGATTGAGATTTTATTTTTATTTTCCTTTTTTTTTAATGTTATTTGGTGCTCATTCTTAATTGCAAGCAGGGCTTGCAAAATTATTTATCTTTCTGTTTATTTGAAAGAGGTTTTTTTTTCTTAAAGAAGTTTACTTGGTTTTATTTTTTTATTTTGCTTTTGTTTGGGGATTTGGGGGTGGTTTGGTTTTTTTCTTCCCTTTTTTTTTTTTTTTTTTTGCCCCCCATTTTGTTTTTATTTTCTTACCAAAAGATTGGTAAACCCAACGTTCTGATTCCCTGGTTCCTACCCAACTGGGGGGGTGGGCAGTGCTGTGCCCAGAGCTGCGTGATTTCAATTGAGAGCTTTCTGTAAGGCAGAGCATCTTCAGGCCAGAAAAGTCTGGGAAGAGAATTGGTGACTTCAGACAAGAGTCCTGTCTGCTCTCTTCTTGGGTTAAATATTTTCCTTGGGTTTTCTCATGCTTCTCGGAGGCAAAGGAAGAGCAAAACACCACAGGGTCCTGCAGTGCTGTGAGGGCCTGGGTGGATCTGGGCAGCTCCTCTTGGCTGGAAGTGTTGGTGTTGTCTTCTCAACAAGAAAAGCACCCACAGAGCAGGTTAGCTTCTGCCCCACTGTTTGCATGGCTGGGAAAACACATGTGCCAAGCTGAAGTTTTTGGAAACCAAAGCAGTGCCTGGCTCATTTAGTGTTGTATAAACAGAGATCGGGTCCTCAATGTTTCTGAGCATTCCCTCGAGTCTGTAATGGCCTTTGCCAGTCTGAGCTTTTCTTCTCATCCCTGTCTTTTCCCCAGCAGTGCTTGAAGTCACAAAGCAGGGAAGTGTCCTGTAGCTCTGAGAAGGGCCTCAGTAGGGAGACCCAGAGCAGCAGGGCTGAGTCTGCCTGGTTTCAGTCCCTCTTCTGACCTGTGCAACCTAAACTGAGCGCCCAGGGCCCTCGTAGAAAATAGTGTTTGCTTCATGATTTCTAAAGGCCCATTTGTCAAAGATGCTGTGGGTTTGAATCAGAACTATCCTGAAGGGAAATACTGCACATCAAAGCTGTTTGTGTCTGACATCGCAGCGGGCAGAGCTTTGTCACTGGAGGATGTACGTTGCTACATGACTCACTTTATTTGGATTGAAGCCTTCACTCCCACACAGCTTCTTCCTTCTGTTACCTATCGGAAGGTGAGGACTTGTTTTTACCTCTTCAGCCTTTGGTTTTTTTCCCACTCAGGTTTTCTTTGGAAATGCCTGGCGTAGGTTCTCAGTCTGATTCCTGCTCTGATCCCTGCAGGTTGCTTAATGTTGTCTGCTAGACTACAGTCCCAGTTTTACAGCACCTTTTCCCAACCTTAAAATCATGTTTGCTTCAGATCCAGGCCTGGCACCCATCCTGCAGGTGCTGAGGTGTCTTTCCTCCAACCCAACCTGATGCCAGGTCTGGTTCCCAGAGCCTCAATCCCACTCAGAGAGCCAAACCTCCTCATCCCATGAGGCATTCCTGGGGCATAGAACAGTTCTGGCACTGTCTCAGATGAAGTACAAAGGTGGTCATTATCAGCTGGGAGCACCAGGAGACTCCGGGAGCAGGGAGCAGCTGTAGGCGTAGGACTTGGTGCAGATGTGTGGGGTTTGCCTTAGTTTCTCTTAAATGATGTGATCATCTCAGCATGTGACTTTCTCTCAGTGTGATGCCTTAAAGCACTTTAAATGGAACTGGTCGTGTCACTTTTCAGTTTGGTTAAGTGGAGACAATCAGCTGTGTAATTGCTTTCCCCTCGGCATGCCCAGCACAGCCCAAGCTGCACAGCAGTGTTACCAGCACCGGCCTGCCCTTGTTTTGGGGGGGGGGGGACAAAGGGCCAAGCGTTTTGTATCATTATTAGACCAAAGTGGATGTGAATGTGACTACGGTCCCACCACAGGCAGGGTGAGCCCTTTCCCCACGGGAGAGCCCAGCAGCCATTTGCTCATGGAGCCCTCCTGGCCTCACACCATGGCACTTAGGAGCAGGCATCAGGAGTGGAGCAGTTGGCTTCTGATGGCCTGGCTGTGTCACCCTGTATGACCTCACACTACCACCATCCTCCTCCTCCTCCTCCTCTTGGAGTTTGACCACTGCTGAGAAGCAATGCCATGAGCTCGAGCGGGTTTGTACACAGGGAAGAGCATCTGTAGAGCCTGAAGTCTTTGCACCTTCCTTGCTGCATGAGGATATCTCAAAGCTGTTAGCAAAACGCCCGAACCCAGCCCTTCCCATTGCCACCGGGTCAGGAGAGGTTCATCAGGTGCCAAACGCCAAGGAAGCTGTGTAGGGTGTCTGACACAAGGGAGGAATGGGCAGGGGGCACAGGAGAGAGCATCTGCTCAAATCCAACAAAACATTCCTTGTTAACCAGAACTCTGGAAGTTATTCTGCCTGCTGGTCAGGTTTGGGAATTCAACATAATTTAAGGCACCCTTTTAAAGAGGAAAAAAAACCAACCCTCCCCTACTGCTCCTAACTCTTGCGTCGCTTGTCAGAAGGGGCAGCAATCAGCGATGAGTTCTTGATCCGACGATGCAGCTAAGTTTTAAAGATAGGTGAGCTGAACTGGACGCACCTCTGGCTCCTGGGGCACGGGAAGCACAGCGTCGGCTCCCGGCCCACCTGCATTTTGGGGCTCGATGCCTTTCCTTCCACACGCATTTCACTGACACTGATGCTTCGCCCAAATATATTCTGCTTCCTTCGCTTGGGGGGTTGGGGGGCAGGATGACGTTCACTGCTTGGCCTACAGCTGTGAGCTTTGTATGTATTTAAGCTGTCTATAGGTATCAATCATTTCCATGCTCTGAAGTATTTTATTGTTCTATCGATATTAAACGGTGAGTCAAAACAAAAATAATCTGACATCCAGTTCAGTTCGCCTATGGTTAAAGTTTAGCCTGGTGTTTGTCTTGTACTAATATGGAATGCACTTGAGTAATGCCTGGAGCGTTAGGGGGTGTATTACAACAACCCCATATACCTCTGCCTTTGGTTTGTTTCTTTAAAAAAAAAAAAAGAGAGATAAAAAATATGCTTTGCATTTTCATGTTGAACCCATTAAAAAATTAATTAAAAAAAAAAAGTTTTAAAAAAAAAGGAATTTTTTAAAAAAGAGGGTAAAACCTAATTGCTGTATGTTAATTTGTAATTATGTAAAAAGTGAGCAGGTTATTGACTGTGTAAAATTCTTCAGTTTTCCTGTAACTTGCCAGAAACCATTAGGTTTTGTAACGAGCTTTTATTTATCTTCCTTTTTAGTTATCAGCATCAACCTCTTGTAAAGTCATTTTTCCTCTAAATAAATTTGATTTTAAGTCTGAGTTTTCCTACCTGATTTCTTCCCACCCCTCTGGTATTCCTGTTGTTGACTTTGTGGCATGGGGGGGCAAAGCGATAGCTGCAGCCCTACCTGTAATTGAACGTTTGCATGGCTTTTATCACCAGGGTTCCACCATGCATCCCTTGGACTCTATTTTTCTCCTCTTTGAAGATTTACAATCTGCTTAAGGGTCGTAGTGATGTTCAGCTCTTTCACCCGCTCTTTTTCATCCTTTTACAAGAAGATGAATTGTCACAGCCATTATCTCAACCACTTCAGCTCCCAGGCGGGCTCCTGGCACCAAGATAACTGGCAGGTGGTGGCTGCAGGTGCTCTTATGGCCTGTATTTTTTGTCACCCACTGAAATGACGGCTTATCTCAGTCAAAACCTGGGTAACTCTGGTCCCAGGGTGTTTTATCTCATTTGGCTGAGAACTGGAGATGCTGCCTCACACTGTGGAGGGAACGCTGTAGGCCAGAAGAGCTGATTCTTACCAGGCACTGGGAAATGCCAGCCCCCCTCCAACACCCCGTTGGCCAGCAGCGTGCTGCGTTTCCCCCCACATCACTTCTCTGTTGCTTGTGCTGTGTATAAAACCCGCCTGGTGTCTGTGCCCCAGATGTGCCTGCTGCCATGGAGCTCAGGGCCTGACAGCTCCCAGGGTGTGGGATGGGAGATGAAAGGGCTCTCCTGTACCTTCAAGCCTGATCACAGTCCTCCTTTTATTTGCATTCCCATTCATCTCCACTCACCTATTTACCAAAGCATTTTAAGAGTTTTTTCTCCTGTAAGCCCCCTCAGCCCCACGCTTTGGGTGCCTCCAGAATCCCCACCTAAAGGTGACTCTCCCCTTAGGAGCATGGGGTACTCTGGGGGCACGTGCCCCTGCACCAGGCAGGAGTCACCCCAAGCCCTTGCACTGGTGCACTGAATGCAGCAGCACTGATAGACCCAGCTGCTGCCATGCCATGGGCATCAGTCACAGGAGGAGGAAGAGCACATTTACTATGTGTGATTTATAATAAGTAAAAAATGACAGTTTTGCTGCAGAGCCTGCTGGGCAGTATGGGTGGAGTTGACTCCAAGCCACATGGGCAGCTTATTTTAGACAATTCTTGAGCATCACCTCTTCCTTTTGCTCTTTCCGTGCATCCTCTTTGCTGCCCTTGCTGACTCAGTCCTGGCATGGGCTGCAAACTGGAGGGCTGGGAGGGCACAGGTGCGAGCTGGGCTGGAGCTTGCAGACAGGCTTCTCATTCATGGAAGCTTTATGAAGAGAAGGGAAGACAAACCCTCATTAATTCACTGACTGAACTGCCTTGTGATCAGATGCAAGGTGAACGGTAAAGGGATGAGTTAGCTTTGCCATTGAAGGCACCTGGGTTTTGTTAATTAGTTAGAGGGATGTTAAACACTGCAAAGTGTTGATTTGTTTAGGGTTGGAATGTGTTTCAATTAAGGAGAAGATAATACTCGACATTAGCTGCTGGTACAAGAGATGTTGCTTTGACCTTTTTAATCTACGTGTGCAAGAATAACGCAGCACTGGAGCAGTACTGAGATCAGAGCACTCATGAAGCCTTTGCTGACCATAGCTGCTGGTGCCCATCCTTCTGCCTTCCTTTCACTGAAGAATCAGTTCCTACCAGCTGCAT